CAGGACAGATGGAGGAGATGTATTGATTCGTGAGTGAGTGGAGTGTGTTAACACAGGCAGGCTGTGTGATGCTGTGCGAGTCTGGAGTGCACATAACCCCCTGTTTAGTGTGTGCCCACCTGGGTACTGTGTTTCTGTGTGTGTGTCTGGATGTGAGCCTGTCTTTATTACTTTGTGAGGACTGAATGTCGTCATGATGACAGAACAATATGAAAGTTTTGTACAAGTGAGAACATTTTGCAGGTCCTCGCAAAAAAAACTTGCTGTTCTCACCACAACGGCAGCTTACCTTTATTTTACTGGGGTTAAGGTTAGGGTCAGTTTATGTTTACGTGTAGTGTTACATAGCTACAGTAATACAGAAGTCAGTAAAAGTTCACTCAAATATACAAATACACAAACAGCTGTGTGTGTGTGTGTGTGTGTGTGTGCGCATGTGTTTTCAGGACAAAATGTCTTCATTTTGTAGGAAAACTAGAGAAAAACAGAGCTAACATACAATATCAGCACCAACAGAAATGAAGCTTTTTTGTAAAGCTTTATTTTTTTCATCTGAAAGAACAAAACCCCAATTTCTTTTAGGTTAAGAGGTTAAGATTAGCGCCAGGGTTTAGGATTAAGCTTAGAACATTCTTATGCATAAAGATATATAAATGCACTACTGTTCAAAAGTGAGTCACTTGCCATATTAACTTTTCTTTAGTATAAAATAATAACTTGTACAATATGAATTAAAACATTACTAACTACTCTCCAAATGGTACTTTTAGACATTTTGTTCAGTACATCAGGAATGAGAAATCGCCTCACACCAAGAAGGGCCTGGGTTCGATTCCCCGGCCAGGCAACCAGGGTCCTTTCTGTGTGGAGTTTGCATGTTCTTCCCGTGTCTGTGAGGGTTTCCTCTCACAGTCCAAAGACATGCATTCAGGCTAATTGGAGATGCTAAATTGCCCCTGTGTGTGTGTGTGCGTGTGTGTGTGTGTGTGTGTGTGTGTGTGTGTGTGTTGTGTGTGTGTGTGTGAATGTATATGTCTGTCTGGCTGCCCTGTGATGGACTGGCGACCTGTCCAGGGTGTTTCCTGCCTTCCACCCAATGACTGCTGGGATAGGCTTCCTGTGTGTATGTATTCACATATTTTGTCAGGTTATTGAGATTTGATCTCTACTTTTGAAATATGAAGTATTGCAAATGCTTGTTTTGGAGAGTGTACAGCCCTTTTTCTGCATGTCACTCGGCCTTCTGTGTGACTCCTCCTCTTCTACTTTCTCTTTCTCCATCTCTTCACCTCTGTTTCTCTACTGTGTTTCAGCTCTTTCTGTGAGAGTGACAGTCAGTCAGGTTTCGTAAAGCTATCAGAAATATTCCATTATTGTCTTCAAGGTGTGTATTTGTGTCAAAGGTGTGTGTGTGTGTGTGTGTTGATACAGATCTATAAGATATAGAGCTAAACAATAAATTATTTTTATATCAAAATCATAACTTGAAAGAGAGCTGCAAAGCTCATAATATCCCAGATTATTCAAAATTGCAGTAACTGGTTTTAAGTGGGGAAATTTCACCTAACAGTGTGGAGCTCATGAATTGGCAGTCTGGCTCACTACATTAAGCTTTCAAGCCTCAAGTCTGAAAAAATGGATGTGCCGGACTTCTTGGTGAAAACAGGCCTGGAGAATACAGAGCAGAAAAATTGCAATTAGATATTTTCCCCAAATCATTCAGCCCTACACTCTCAGAGAAAAGCTACTGAACTGTCTTTGAGATGGTCTTTGAGATGGTTACCCAAATACACCCTTACAGTACCCTTTTTTCTGACAGTGCACAATAACTCATGACTCAATAACCATGTCTTTTCACTGGTTCTCTAGAGAGTGCATAGAGCCAACTTAAAACTACATAAATGCAACAAAAATGGTACAAACCTCAGTTCCAAAAAGACTGGACAGTATGTGAAATGCAAACAACAGAAAGCAGTGATTTGTGAATCCACTTTGACTTAATTATTTAAACAAAAACAGTGCAAGGTCAAGATGTTTTATCTTATCGGCTTGTTTGTTTTTTTGTAAATATTTAGCATTTTCACAAAATGAGCTGGACTAAGAACACCAAGGACGTCTCTCATCCTAACCGTGGACTTTTTACCCTACTCCTGTCTGGCAGGTGTTACAGAAGCCTCCACTCCCAAACCAGCAGGATCAGGAAGAGCTTCTTCCCTGAGGCTATAACCCTGCTGAACTCCACACCGTCACTTTAACTGCATCTTTGCACTCACTGCACTGTTACTGTACTCTATGTCCTGTTATTATATATATATAAAACCACTATATACTGTCCTTCTGCACTTTATATGTAAATAATACTGTATTTTGCACTTCTGGTTAGATGCTAACTGCATTACATTGGCTCTGTACCTGTACTCTGCAATGACAATAAAGTTAAATCTAATCTAAACTAATCTAAATCCAGTTGATCTGGACTAATTATGCTTTCCTTCTAATGAAGCATGCAGCTGTATTGTGATATATTGTAATGTAATTTATCATGATTGCGATAATTATTGTGACATTGCCCTACATGCCCTTGAGGCTTGAGGCTGCCACCCCAGTGACAGCTTTTGTTTCCTGAAAGGATGGAGAGAATGAAAGTGAAAAGGACTGAGAGAGAGATGAGATCAGAGAAGACTCTCTCTAAGAGCCTTTTCACTACTTCACCCCAGTGTTCTTATTTAAACCACATTAGTCTGCTAGTATCAGACCTGATCTAATCTCCTCATAATCCACACACACTCTGATCTGATTTTTTTTTAAAGGCTGCTGGAACACAGAAGCATTGCAGATCAAATCTGTATCTACACTCTTTCATTTTGTGAGCCCACGTCTGTGCGTGCGTTAGTTGGATGCTCTCTTTTCCTTTCGTCACGCCGCCGTGCGGAAATGTAAAAGCATTAAAAATGCTTCGTGCACCAAACCAAACTACAAAGTGCTTTTTCTTCCCACACTGTCAGACGATCAGATCAGCGCCTCTTCACTGCGAAGCCACAGGCGGCTGATGAAATGACTGCAGAGGATGATGATGATGATGATGGTGATGATGATGAACTGGATTCTGTTTTCATTCATGTGTTCAGAGTGGAGGGAGGGGTGATAGAGGGAATGAGTGAGTGAGTGTGGGAAGAAAATGACTGTCAAAGATTTTTTTTCCCCTTATCACTATGCAAGCAGTAGGAAAACAAAGAGATGTCTGACTTGAGCCCCTGAGAGGAGAGCTGCTATCTGTCACCTTTGCAGAAGGGGGGAAAAGTGTGTGTATGTATATATATATATAAATAAATAAGCTGATGAAGAGAGAATGGGAGCTTCCCTACTTCACACTCCCCGCCTTTGAAGAAGTGCCAAATCAGTGCTGCGCCTCAAAGGTGCTGCGGAGCTAAAAATAAGAGGAACACTCTAATCCCTGTGTAGTAGACCTTCACATTAAACAGCCCTAATGCAGTTGGAACATGGCACAAGGCTGCCCCCTAGTGTTGTTGTTGGTTACTGCACCGGCTGGGTTGATTATTGCTGCCTTTAGGCTTACTTGCTTGTAAGGTTTCTGACATACTGTAGCTTGTAAAAATGGACGGACAAGATTCAGTCCTCAAGCTGCTGCTACTATTTCCAGCTATGAACCATACATTTGTCTAAAGGTGGATGTTATGGCAAATATATAAAAAACTATGCAAAAGTTTGGGTGCCTCGATCAAATGATGTGTTTTGATATTTTTTTGGTTTTCTAAGTGAAAATAATTTTTTTTTCTGTGCATAGTGATGCACAGTTACTGTTTATAACCAATTGGAAAACAAAATAAAACATACAGTGTGGCCTGTGCAAATGTTTTGGGTATTTTCACTTTTTTGTTCCCTGTAAAAGATTATTTTCACTTAGAAAATTAACAAAACGTAATTTGAATGGGGCGCCCAAACTTTCGCACACGCCTGTAATGTCATGATACATCAACTCATTTTCACAATACGCAATATGAATCACAATATTGATTTGATTGTACTGAGCGAACAGATGAAAATGCATTAGTAGCGGAACAATGAAAAATATACTATGAATAAATTGATTTGTTTAGACGTTTCACATACGTTTCCCTATTAAACTGGACTGATTATGTTGTAATGAAATGTGCAGGTGATCAGTGGTATTGAAGCACTGATAAAATCCCTGATGTCCTCAGAAAAGCATAGTATGACATAATATCATTTCATAATATCATATCATTTATCAGTAAATATTGTCATATTGTCCACCCCTACGTTTGTCTATATGTATAGATAACAATACCTCACACAGTGCCAGAAAACATATGGGCATGTCTATCTGAGATTGATGCAGTTTGCACGATGCTGATTGGCGAGATAGGAAGCTTTCATTGCTTATTAGCCTCATAGCTTCAGTGCAAAACTAAAGAAGTAAACTTGTAGTTAACTACAAATGTAGTTGTGACTTATGAATACTGAACTGATCCTTTAACTGATCCTGTATTTTACTCTTGGTAATGTTTAGCTGTGTTATCACACACAGTATCATTAAAGGGCTTTTTACACATCTTATTGAAATATTGAGCATCTTTGTATGTAATGTATTTTGATCTAAAGGCTCATGTCTTTAACTGGTTTAACAGTCATCAAGTGCTCATCACATGTGAAACTTCTTCAAGCATGTTGGAAAAGCATCCCAGGGGGCTCCTCATGAAGCTCCATGATAGAATGACTGAAAGGCACAGAGAGACTAATTTTCTAATACAATCTAAATTTGATTTGTTTTTAGTCACTGCATAATTCAGTATGAGTTATTTCCTCAATGTAATGTCACTGTTATTATAATATATGGAAAATATGGCTCAAATGAACAGAAATGCTTAATGAATAGGTGGCTGATACTGTGTGTGTGTTTGTGTGTGTGTTTCTTTTGTATGACTAAGTATTTTTTTTCGGTTTTTGTCGTTGTACAGTTTGTGTTCTGTCGGGACTGTAAGGAGGAGTATCATGAGGGCGAGTGCAGACAGAGGAATTCTCCAGCAGCAGGAGGCGCCCTGCAGGTATGCGCCATGCACTAATCAATGGCGCAGACACGCAAGCAGATACACTACTAGTTCCCAGCCCCACGCCCTGTGATATCTCTAGTATAGACAGCTGATCAGTATTGATGAGTATCAGCAGAAAATGTTGGATTGGATATTTACAGTCCTGTAACAAATCTGCCCTGAAACAGCCCTCATATCATCACAGTGTCTGATGTGATGTTAGCTCTGGAGTTCTTCCTGTGGGGAGTGTTTAAGTAATTTAAGCATGGTAGCTTACTTTTAGATGCTCATTGTGCAAGTGAAGTGCATTAATTAAAACTAGCTCATTTTATAACATAGTAATAACATTATAACAGTATTTTGCCATTTCTAGTTCTGATTGAAGTTTTGTTTAAAGGTTTTCCTTGGGTGAAGAGTTGAATGAGGTACAGGGAAAACACCACCAGGACTAAGCTGGGAGCCACAGTCATATGCAAATTTTGGGTGCCCCTGGTCAAATTACGTTTTGTTGATGTTCTAAGTAATAATAAGTTAACACATCCCAAACACACACACACACACACACACATATATATATATATGTATATGTCATAATGCATTTTTACATCACAATTTTTTTTACCTCTCTTTATCTCTTAGTATAAAACAGGCTGTTTTTGTTAATGTGTCTTTAAGACCGTTATATGTAAATGACCTCCATTCTGATTGGCTGCTCTGTATTGTGCTTAAATGCATACACAATGAATGTGTTGGTTTTTGTGGCATCACAGAAACAATGAGTTAAAATGAGGCTGTTTTTGCAGCGTCATGTCCATATATGGACTGTATGGACTGATGAGTGAATGGTACGTTTGAAACTTTAACAATATAAAATTGCTACCTACATTTCAAAAAAGCAAGGAAAATTCTGCTTTCCATGAGACGGTCCCTTTAACAAAGTTATTTTATACTTGTCAGTGTAAACTGGGATGTTTGAAGAGAATCATTAAGAGGTTCTTCACCCTTTCCAGTAAAATATTTAAGCCACAAAACAGTAAACTTGTATAAGAAAGCACACAGTCGCACAACGTAATCGCTGTTACTCCCACACAGACGATTCCTTTGAGGGTGAGTTGCATTATCTCCATCTGTTTCTCTTGCGTATTGTCCTGGTTGGCTCTTTTCTGTGCTGTGTCAGGGTTATGTGGTGGATGAGGAAGCTGCTCTGAGAGCTCGCTGGGAGCAGGCCTCTCAGGAGGCCATAGAGGAGACCACTCGACCGTGTCCCAAGTGCAGAGTGCCGGTGGAGAAAAACGGTAAGACTTTCTCTCGTTCTGCTACAACTACATCACTCAACTACAGCAGTACTAGTATATATACTTAAGGATGTAAGGAATTGTATTTTATGGTTTATTTATACACAATATGTCCTGAAGTCTGTAGACACCTGCTCATCCAACGTTTCTTCTGTTATCAGCGCTATTAACAGGGAGTTTGTCCTGTCTTTGCTGCTATAACAGCCTCTACTCTTCTGGGAAGGCTTTGCACTAGATGTTGGAACATTGAGTGCGTTTACATGCACTTAATAATCTGATAACTGCAGAAAATCCAAATTTTGTCAGTCATCCGATCAACGCATTTACATGCACTTGAGTAATCAGACAATGGGGAAACTGAGTGTTTTGCTGTGTCTCGCGGGAAATCCGAAAGAAATCAGAGTAAGAGTTTACATGCACTGAGAAATCTGATTACTGAGCTAAAATCGAGCTCTCTTTATCAGATTTCATAATCAGATTTCTAGACCTTACTCTGATCTAAGAAATCGGCTAAATAAGCTGTTTACATGACCATTTGAATAATCTTTTAACTGCAGAAATCTGGTTATTAGCAAGCATTAGTGAGGTCAGGTACTGATATTGGCTGATTTGTTACTCCAGCTCATCCCAAAGGTACTGGATAGAGCTCCATCCCTCCAGAGAACCCAGCTTTATACCTAGATGACACTTGGAATTGGGCTTGAAGACTTTGGGCTCATGTACAACAGCTTCATCCCATTCTCTAGGCAAAGCTTTTCTACTGAGATTTTACAAGCTGAATTCACTCATTAGAAAAGGTGTCTGGATACTTTTGAACATATGTTTTCAGAATCTGCATTAGCCTCTTACATTCATTAGTGTCATTTGTGTTTGCGGTTTCTGTGTCAGTGACTTGTGTAGGTCTGTATTGTTGTTTCTTTCTGCATTATTGCAATTGTATTTCAGTATCTTCTGTTCAGTAGTCATGATTATCTCAAGACATGTTCTCTTTAAGGTATTTAATAGCAAAATAATTTGCCTAAGCATTTAGCATATCATTATTTTTTTATATCATTTTGGAGTTGCAGTTTGCATTTGTATTATTCTTAATATTGTTGTAGTATTTTTTTTTGCTGTTGGGACAAAAACCTCATATCTCCACTTTTGTTGTTTTTCAATTTTTGACATAATTTGAAAAAGGCAGTTGCCCTTTATGTTGTGTCAAAATTTCATGATGAACAAACCAACAGAAATGCTCCAAAATATGTTTTTTCTTTTTACTTCCATTAAAAATTTGTTTTTTTCCTGTCCTGTAAATTTACTGTTTTTTGGAGGTACGAGAGTCAAGAGGGTCTTTAACCAATATTTAATGCCGCACATTTTCTACTTTTCTTTTTTTAATGTACATTTTTAAATCTTTTATTTTTATTGTATACTATTTTATTTTCTGACTTATTGTTTTAGTTGTTGTACAGTTTGTATGTAAAACACTTTGTACTAAAAATGAAAGGTTCTATTTAAATAAAGATTTTTATTATTATTATGATTATTATTATTATTATTAGTAGTAGTAGTAGTAGTAGTAGTAGTACTATTGCAGTCTCTATTGATGTAGTTGTCCTGTGGTTCTGTTCTCAGGTGGCTGCATGCACATGGTGTGCCCTCGAGCGCAGTGCAAGTTCGAGTGGTGCTGGCTGTGTCAGGTGGAGTGGAACAGAGAGTGTATGGGCAACCACTGGTTTGGATGAACTGCACACACTAGGCTCGCTCGGACTCAGGGAAACGGGCTGCATGTGTGTGTGTGGACGCACGTTAGCATACAGGCCCTCTAATTTTAACATCTAAAGATAATCACAGCACAATTTGTCATTAATGGTGTTATGAGATCATATCAGTGCCACCACCATCTGAATGAATTTGTGGTAACCACAACTTTGGTGAGATGGAAAGGAGATTATATGCATAATGTAACCCAGATGGTGTGTATCATGTTGGGTTTAATGTATGCTGGTTGTTGTGTATCACAATCTTATTAAAATATTTATGTAAATTCCACTCAGAGCCGTTTTTCATTTCTCTGCATTTCTAAGCTGCTGTGTATAATATTTATAATGCTAAATGTGGATGATATTAGTATTCTCAGCAGGATGTTTGGTATCTGCTCTCTCTTTCTACACTGAATGAGTGATGAATTGAATTGATTCAAATGTGCACATGATTTTCACATAAATACAATATATTACATCTGCATTGCGCTTTTCAGTTTACTTATATTTGGCAATAATAGTGTTTATGTAATATGTTTTATTCAGGTAGGAATAATATACATGTATATTATTCAATGCATCACTTTTTTTCAACTTGCACTGTTTTTCAGCGTGATCAGATTTCTATGTCTTGATCATAACTGCAGAAAAATATGATCATAATTCTCAAGTCCAACCTTGAGCTTAACCTTAAAAAACACTGACTTGTTCTGTCTCACTGGTGCACAAATAGAGATCATTGCCCATCTGCTGCTTGTGGAGGGTAAGTGGACCGCATAAATGTCTGGTGATGGAAGAAATAGGTTGGTGTTTCTGAAAAAGTGGACAAAAAGTGGTCAGAGACCACCCTCCATTTATTTGATTTCCAGTTGAAACTGTCATTAAGTACCATTTTTCACCATCAAGATAAAAGCAGAAAACATTAACAGAAAATTACACAGAAGCCTCAACAACTAAATATAATATAAAAATGTATTTATTGTGTCCACTCCTCGCCTTTATTACAGCTTCCATTCTTTTTAGGAGACTCAGTTTTTCAAAATTATCTACAGGGATATTTTTCACACCTACAAAGTTCAGTCTTAGAAGTTGGTTGCATTTTCTGCTTCTCACAATCCGATTACAAATTAAGACTCATCAGTCCATAAAACCAGACTCCACTTCTCAGTTTTTGTCTGTTTCCTTGTCTCAGTGAGGCTTCTTGACAGCTGCACATCCTTTCAGACCCATAGTGCTGAGTCGTCTTCTCACAGTGGAAGGATGGACAGAAACACCTGTGGATGTTTTCAGATCTGAAGCAGCTTGATTTTCTCCTCTCTCAAAGATGAAAGCTTTAAGTGCTGTTTATGTGATGGGGGCAGTTGGTGGTCTACCAGGCCTTGCATGGTCATTAGGAGTCCCACCTTTTTATGCTTACACTTTTTATGACTTCTTTAATGATATCTTAATAAAATCTTTTAATGAAAGTCCTGTTTTTCATTTATGTTCCTTTGACTTCCTCCTTTCTAATGTGAGTGATCTGTCATATCTAATTTCAGAGATCTGAACAGTGTATCGGCCATTTTAGATGCGAAAAATGAGAAAGCAAAGTAGACAAACTGAATACTGATAGATGTGATACACTTAAAAAGATGGTTCTTCATGGGTTCTTTAGTCCAGAAAATGGTTCTATATAGAACCATAAAGACTGAAAGAACCCTTTGCATGATTTAAGGGTTCTTTGCCTCATAAAAGCGTTTTTCAGATTGATGGAGAATTTGTATGAATGTGCTGTAGATGGTTCTATATAGAACATTTTTAAAAATGGTTCTATATGGCAACTAAAAGTGTTCTTCTATTGTTACGATGTCAAGCTTGTAACAATAAAAGAACCCTTTTGCGTGCTATATAGAACCCTTTTCAAACAGGTTCTATATAGAACCATCTATAGCACATTTTCCATCAGTCTAAAAACCGTTAAATCATGCAAAGGGTTCTTGGAGTGTTCCTGGTTCTATATAGAACCATTTTCTTTTTTAAGAGTGTAGCACCAAAAAAGGGCCAAAGAACCCTTTTTTGGTACTTTATAGAACCCTTTTGCTAAGAGTGTATACTTAGTGTTGGAGGCTTCTCTGTCATTTTTTTGTTAATTATAAGTTTCCTGCTTTTTTTAAAACTAAAATATGATTAACTTCTACTTGGCTGTTTTGTCTGAAAGTTTAATGAATGAAAGGTGGTCTCTGACTTTTGCACAGTACTGTACATGTTAACGGGATAAAGTTTTATTCCAATATCTGTTGGTCTGTTTGTGACTAAATGTAATGTAAATAATGTAAATATTCACCCAATGTAAAGAGCTTTTCACGTAGTGATATGCAATTCTGCAGAACAGGCAAATGTGCTGGTAAAATAGTCTAAATTGCCTTAAATTGCTCTTTTATTACAGCCTTTGCTTCTGTAATTTAATCCCTGCCACTCAGAGTGGGACGGTCAGGCCTTGCTTGTCAAATATCATGTGCTCCAAACTGTAAATTGTGCTTTAGTACATCAGAGTCATGCTGTCAGTCATACTTAGCAAAGCAATGTGATTCAATCCAGCAGGATGAGGCATATGTATGTTAATATTGATGCAGGTGATTATCTCCGAGTTCCGCTGTTTATATGGTAATTAGATGTGCTTTAAGACATGCATCAGCAGATAAGGTGTCATAAACATTCTTTCAGCCTTTCGCAGAACTTGGGGAGGATCACCCTGTAACCTCTGCTCTGTTAAACAATGAGATAAATGTTGTGTCATTACATCAGCATTTATGAGTTAAAGGGAGTTGGACTGTTGTGTAATGAGCACATGTACTTTTCTTTACGACTCACTGGGCGGGGGGAGCTGAGGAACGGACCAAGTGGAAACAAACATGAGCAGAGTTAGAAGACCCTTGAAGAACACTCTGCAGTTCACACCTGTTAGCAAGCTATACAGAGACATATACCTTGGAGGCCTCATCTTTTAGTCCGTGGATGTTGGAAGGTATTGTATAGCACATTCTGTTACAAGTTAAATGTTTTGTTATATTCACTGGATATTCATTGTTTGACATTTTTAGCTGGACACGGGTCATCTGTGTGCTCCAGTGACCATTTATGAATTTTCTGTGGATCAAATCTGAAGTCAGTACCAGTAGCTGGGGGTGGACAATGACGATATGATGTTGTTATTGTGATAAATTATATCACAATACAGTGTAAAAAATTAATTTGTTACTAAAGAGTAAAAAGTCGGGCAGCCAGTGTGCCAGACATTAACCGTTAATTAACATTAAAAGTTTTTTTTTTATTATTAATTTCTTAGAAAGACTGCCTGTTACTTTAAACAGTTTCACTAGTTCAACTAGTTATTCTGACAATATTTTACCATATTAATAACAAAAGTAATAACTATTAAACACAAATGTATGTGAAAAAAGGTGATTTCAACTTGTGTAACAACAGCTATGCTAAAATATACTATATCGTCACTGTCGAAACAAAACCTTGATTCTCCAAAATTGTAACTTTAAAGGAGAAGGAAAAAATGTTACTTGTAATGAAGGTTAATGGATTTTTTTTCCATGTAATTCTGTACTATTTCTATTTACCTGTTCATGTTGAAAATGTAACACAATGTAAAGGGTAACTGGAGTTTTTATATTATGTAAAAATGTAAAAAATGACAAAAATGGAGATATGAGGGTTTTTTTCAACATGTATGATTTATTTACATGCATTTAACTTTATTTTAAAGACTAGTTTTGACCATTACATTTTACAGCACTTTAACAGTAAAAATACTTATTTTATTACAGTGTACTTTTTTGTCTATACCATGAATATCATCACTATTAGGACACTAAACAACCACATATATTTCTCTTCAATACAGCTTTCAAATTCGAAATTGTTGTGAAAGCATAGTCTGTCTATCATAACAGTAGATAAACAGACCTTGTTATCTGTCTAACGCATATTTTAGCATATCGCTGCTGTCAGAATTGACGTCATTTGAAAATGCCTGTTGCCCTTCATGTTGTGTGTAAATTGCATGATGATTGGACCAAAAGAAATGACCAAAAATCACATAGAAAAAATTCTGGTTCTATTGACTTACATTAAAAGTAAAGTAGGTTTTTTCCTTCTCCTGTAAAGTTACTATTTTGGAGATACAAGTTTTGTTCCAACAGCAGTGATAGTGAGGTTATGTTGAGAAACGATTTAAGCACAGTTTATGAACAGTTTATGTGACGGCAGTCAAAAGGCTGGAGACACTGTAGCACAGCTGTAACTACCTCCTTCATTCTTTCAGCCAGCTGTTAATGACAATTTGAATGAAAGCACAGAAGACATGTGGTTGACCCAAAGACATTTGTGGGTCTGAATGTGAAACATAAATAACAACCTAGTTTACATTCTTGTTAAAGGAAACTCTCAATTTTCTAACTTTTTCACATAATTTAATCCCTGAGATGTAAACAAAATCATTCAAAGTGGTTTGATGTGAAATGGCTCTTCCTCAGATTCCTTTACAGTGGTAAAGCCTTTAGGCAAAGGTTTCATAAACTTTTCATGATATTTCATAGAATAACTTTCAGTGAGGGAGACATTAAAACTTCAGATGTGTGCTTCCTTTCTTCACGATTGAAGAATTTCTGATTCGGCAAATTTCTCTAGAAATATGAAGCCGCTCTGAATGACGTTCACATCTTAACCATTTAATTATGCACAAAATTTGAAACAATGGTGGGGTTCCCCTTTAAGCTGTGGGTTACACATAATGAAAAAGCACCATTAATAACCACCAACAAAGATTTCAAATGAACATTTCAGTGGCTGATTGGATGTCAGTCTATTGTGATATTAACCTATATAGCTTATTTAACTTATTTCTACTGACTGTTTGAAGTCATTGTTTTTCAAGGCCTTCCACAGTTTTGCAGGAGAATTTGTCTGTACAAATTTGTTAACAAACCTCAGAAGAAATATTGTGACCTATGCTTTGTGTTGTATAACAGTATTGTGATGTGATTTTGTCTCATCGCTCACTGATACATATATAGCAGGGAGCCAGTGAATCCTACATACCAGTGCACCAGGGGTGAGCATGAAGAGATTGAACCGTATCAGCTCCAGCGGCATTGATAACCCCGGCCTGGAGCTCAGCAGTGCAGCGCTCGGTCCGGTGAGAATGCAGATTTGATCTTTGCACATGTTCTGTGTGTAACGTTTGTCTACAGCACTTTACTTACAGAACATCTTGTTTGCAGATGTCGTTTCACTGTTTTAGCCCCAGTGATTTTTACCCCTCTGTGTGTGTTGGCAGGTCAGCGGTTCCTCCGTCCCTGTAAGGTCAGCCTCAGTGGTGCAGTCTGTTAGCCAGTGGGCAGCTTACGCTCAGGGCCACTGGAAACGGGCTGCCCAAAAATGTGTGAGGAAGAAACCCTCAGGTACTTCACATACAGCCTCATCAGAGACTCTGTCACGTTAAAAAATGCAAAAGAATCATTTTAAGGTGAAGCATAACTAACTGTGTGTAGGTGTGCGTGTTAATGTGAATAGCTAGAGTTAAGGTCACATTAAGGCCAAGAACACAGTATTAACAGCACTGTTTGTGTGTTGTCTCCTTTCATACATTAGACTTACATACTTTCAAACATCGATTCCAAGAGGGCTGGGACAGTATGCACAAACTGTCAAACTCACTCTTCAAACTCTTCAAACACACTCACCCATGTATATACACATACACCGATCAGGCATAACATTAAGCTAAGCTCACTAAGCTCATTGTCCATTTTATCAGCTCCACTTACTATATAGGTGCACTTTGTATCTCTACGATCACAGGCTGTAGTCCATCTGTTTCTCTGCATACTTTGTTAGCCCCCTTTTACTCTGTTCTTCAGTGGTCAGGACCCCCCATGGACCCTCACAGAGCAGGTACTATGTGGGTGGTGGATCATTCTCAGCACTGCAGTAACACTGATGTGGTGGTGTGTTATTGTGTGTTGTGTTGGTAGGAGTGGTTTAGACACAGCAGTGCTGCTGGAGTTTTTAAACACCTCAGTGTCACTGCTGGACTGAGAATAGTCCACCAACCAAAAATATCCAGCCAACAGTGTCCTGTGGGCAGCGTCCTGTGACCACTGATGAAGAACTAGAGGATAACTAACACAAACTGTGCAGCAGCAGATGAGCTATCGTCTCTGATTTTACATCTACAAGGTGGACTGACAAGGTAGGAGTGTCTAATATAGTGGACAGTGAGTGGACACAGTGTTTAAAAACTCCAGCAGCACTGCTGTGTCTGATCCACTCAGATCAGCACAACACACACTAACACGCCACCACCACCAGTGTTACTGCAGTGCTGAGAATGATCCACCACCCAAATAGTACCTGCTCTGTGAGGGTCCATGGGGGTCCTGACCACTGAAGAACAGGGTAAAAGGAGGCTAACAAAGTATGCAGAGAAACAGATGGACTACAGTCTGTAATTGTAGAACTACAAAGTGCACCTATATAGTAAGTGGAGCTGATAAAATGGACAATGAGCTTAGAAACAAGGAGGTGGTCATAATGTTATGTCTGATCTGTGTATGTTACACATACATAAACATATACATCAATAGTAAGATTGCTAAGCTTTATAGTCATAACAAGGTCATTACTAGTCATGTATTCCAATCATATTAGAAATAGTCTGAGCTGGAAGATTGGGCGATGACACAAAAGTGACAAAGTTTTCCCCAAATTTTTTTCAAGTGTATTAGATGACTCATCTGACCACATCACTTTTTCTCCTATAGTCCAGTGCTGATGGTTTTGACACCACTGAACTCTCAAAAGGTCATTCATCTTTGTAGTGAGCGGTTCATGCACTGCACCTCTACTATAATATCTCTCTTTGTGTAGTTGTGGATGGACTGTTCTTGTCTGATCACGTCCTGCATTGACATTATCCATCATCTGAGGAACAGTTGCTCCCCTCGTTTTCCTTACATATCGCTCTACTGCAGAGCATCACTCTCACTGAATGTGCTCTTTCAGCCACAACTTACAGCCTGTTTATATTTGGTGTCTTTCCCGTAGATCTAAATGCAGGTGTCTCTTTAGTCTTCACTCCAACTGAAACACTGTCCAGTTCCTGCTGTCTGTGTCTCAATAATGAAATCTCATCAATAAAAAAATTCAAATAAACTTCAGTTTTTTCTTTGTCACATAAAGCTGTTATTACATGCTGAACCACTTAATGCGCAGTTCAAACTGTGTTTAATTTTTCTTTTCCTTTTCTTTTCTATCCCTTTCCTTTCCTTTCAATTTTTTTGTCTGTCTTACTTTTCCTTTTTCCTCTTTCCTTTCTTTCCTTTTTCTTTCTTTCTTGTTTTCTTCTTTCCTTTGTATCCATTCTTTCTCTCTTTTTTGTTTCTTTTTGACAGTGTTGAATCCTTTCTTTTTTATTTCTTTCTGATGTTATTGCATTCCTTCTTTCATTCTTTCATTCATTCCTTCTTTCTTTCTTTTTGATAGTGCTAAATTCTTTCCTTCTTGTTTCCTTGCTAATATTTTAATTCAATGCTTTATTGTTGTGAAATAATATTATTGGAGGAGACACTCTCTTCTTTTCTCTCTTTCCATTTTTAACTGTTTCTTTCTCTCTTTTTCTTGCTTTCTTTTTTTCTTTCATTTAATTATTCAGCTTTAAAGCTATTGTCTTCTCGCCTTGGAAAATGTAAATCCAGTTACGGTATATTATTCTTGTTCTCAAAAAATCTTGAAATATTCATCTAAAATATAATTTAATGTCTAGTTTAAACTACTGAAATCCACATTGTATAAATTATTACTGAATAAAATAAAAATTGTACTAATATGACTAGTGTTTACAAACAGTCATGAATGGTAGTGATTCCAGTTACCAGGTCATTGTCTACACATCTCAGTTGCATTTTTTCATTCCTCACATTAATCTCTCCTTCTCTTGGCAGACGAACCTGTAGGGAGCAAGTACAAGGGTCTTGCCGGGGATGAAGATGCTGTAGATGGAGGTGATAAAGAGCAAAATCTAAATAAGCGCCTGTTGGATCACTTCAGAGTTCTGGCTGCCAGCAACAAGGACTCAGATGAGGTAGTGCATGGCGGTATTTACCTGTATGCAGGCCAAAGATGTGCAGTGCAGTGGAGAATGAATGGATGTTATTCAGTTGTATTTATCTGACTGGCCCTGTAGGTGGACCTGCAGTACCTGAACAGTATCCTCACAGAGGGAGCTGACCCCAACTCCACAGACAAATATGGACAGACTGCCCTGCATGAGGTGAGCAAAACTTTCTTATGAGCAACAGGCTGGATGGGTTCACACTGTGTTTGTGAAGATAAGGCAAAAGAAATGTTTAATGTTCAAACTTGGCAGTTTTACTGGTTACATCTGCCTTGAACAATATGAAATGTGAAATGTTCTGACATACTTTTTTACATCAAAGCTATTCACTGTGGTCAACACATGATTTTTTTATTTGCCATTTTGTTCATGAAGCAAAAACTAACAAAGAAACAGGCAGAATTTAGTTTCCAAGTGCAAAAATACGTCCTGTGATCCTCACAAAAAGACCAGCTTACTTTCATTTTGGAAAACAGAAAGAAGCACAGTGAGCTTCACTGCCTCATTCAGGAGTTGGGACTTCATGAGAGCATTCACACACAGCTCAGATGAGCATAGCCCAGTTTGAGCTGCTTATGGAAATGTTAGCATTAGCAAGGATACGAATTGATACTTTAATTTTGATACTTACAATCCTGATACTTTTTCAGGAATTGATCCTCAATATCGGCACTGGGTGTTTTCTTTAAGCAGTAAGATGACTATACATCAGTATTATTAAATTATAGTGAAAACATAAAAAAGGCAATATTAAATAAATGTGTAGGATAGGAACTTCTCTTTCTTCTACATTCACCTTCTGCTCTTGACACTCACAGGCCCAGACTGCCATGAGACACAGTGAATGCTCTATGATGGCCAATCATTTGGAGTTATTTAAACAGTGTAGGTGGCAGTTTATTTGACGCTAATTCAATGGCTTTCAAATATAATTTAATGTCCACTTTTTTTTACTGGCTTTCACTGTGGACATCACAAAGAATCCCCCCTTTAAAAGTATGGGTATTGGTATCAGGATATAGCCTTAGGATTACTTGGTACTGGATCAAAAAGGAAATTAGTGATATTGCCCATCTCTAGCTAGCACAGTACATGACAAAGCAGAGGACATACTAATAACAATGTTAATTGGTGGAGTGAGAATTTTCATAAAAGAGAAATTGTATTGAACAGAGGGCAAATATAATAACACAGCATTTTTGCCCTGGTTTGGTATGCAAAATATCATGAGTTGTACATGTAATCAGTTTAATTTTTTGATGTCTAAATAAATTGCACAAATTAATCCAGCTGAGTGTGTAAAGGCCTTGAATCAGTGGTCAGTTTGTGACCACAGAACAACTGCCGGCTGGATATTTTTGGTTGTGGTGGACTACTCCTATCTCAACAGTGACACTGAGGTGTGTAAAACCCCCAGCAACACTGCTGTGCCAGTTACACCCATACCTGCACAACTGCTACTTGCCATGTCAGTGTCACTGCCATGTTTAGAATGGTCCACAACCCAAATCATATTTGTTCAGTGGTGGTCCTGTCCATTGTAGGATGGGTTAGAGGGGGCTAGAAAATTGTGCAGTAACTGATGAGCTACAGTCAATAAGTTTAAACCAATAAAGTGCACCTATATGGTAGGTGTATATGATAAACTAGCCAACTGGCAGCTTAGTGTATTGCTTTATGCACATGACTGTATATGTTTATCATGCGCTCTGGCAGATCTCTCGGGCCTGGAATGTAGATGTGATGCGATTCTTCCTGGAGCGAGGAGCAGATATCCTGAGGGCTGATGCGTTTGGGGTCACAGCCCTGCATGTGGCCGCGGCCTTGGACTATGAAGATATGATTTGTTTTCTTCTAGAAAGAGGAGGTGTGATCATGCATACTTTTAATGTGTAAATCTTTTAGTGTCTCTGTATGTTGCAGATGATGAACTGTGGGCTGATACTGCATCTTAGTCACTGTCTCTGCTGTTTCAGCTGACATTGAGGCACGAACTCGCAAAGACCTGCAAACACCTCTACACTTTGCTGCTAAGAATGATGCCATTGGAGCAATTCAGATTCTGTTGCAGAACGGAGCAGACATTGCTGCACATGACTACAAACAGAGGACTCCTCTACAACTAGCTGCCAATCTGGGTAATGCTTTTATAGGGTTTTATGCTTTCTAGGACTTTTGCGGTACTACATGCTGGTGCTTTGCATCAATGACACTTTGTAGCTGCGTTCCAAAGCCTAGGCTGCAGCCAAAGTAGTGCGGGTCCTCGGTAGGACTGTCTTATGAGGACTCCTCCTTAGTAGCCTATTGGTCACGCAAATGGAACAGTCCTAATGAGGCTGCGTGGTGACGTCACCAGAGCGGTCGTGAAACTTGTGAAGGAGCTGGTGAGAGAAATTGGAGCCTGTTGCATTGTGTTTGTTGCTTTTTCATTTCTTCACGGAAATGGAGATGTTCTTATGTTGTACGATAAACTACATATACACAAATACTTCTACATAAAACACGATGTATGGACGATATACGATATATGGATGAATGCTTTAATTGATCAGTCATTTTACACTTTATAAGGTAACAAACACAAAATCAAGGATGTGAACAACTTACATTTTAAAGCAAGCTCTGCTCCAACTGCTTCGTTTTTTGCCATTTTATGGTGCTGTTTTTTTCCTTTGCGTCGTTCGTGCGCAGAGAACTGTGGGTAACCGAAGGCCTGAAAGGGAACATCTAATGCGTCCTTGAAACCACTCTGACTGTAGGCTGCATTTACAGACTGTATATGAAGGGTCTTTCACTTTGGAATGGCCTGCTATGATGTAGCGGCCGAGAAATGCAGCCTACCTCAGCTGCAGCTTAGACTTTGGGACGCAGCTTTTGTGTCTTTGTTTTTAGAGACGCCTGAAGGCCGTTCTAATATTATAAGTATTATCTTAGAATATCAACGTCATTGGTGTATTACAAAGGCCTGTGTGTTCATGTATGTACGGACATGCGCAAAAGTTTGACCATCTCTGGTCAAATGATGTGTTTTGTTGAATTTCTGGGTGTAAAAGTTAAGGGAACAGGTTTAAATATGGCATTTTTTCTGCAAATTGTAGTGCATAATTTCTATTTATTTACTGAATTTAGTTTATTTAAAAAAAAAAAACTTTAAATATAAAAAATATAAAACATTTAAACAGGCCACATTTTATATTTTTTCAGTGTTCACTTCAGCAAATAAACAGTATTTGCGTATTAAAGTGTGCAGAAGTGTGTTCTCTGTAGAGGATGGTTTATTTATTTTGACTTAGAAAATCAATAAAACATGGAATTTGGCCAGGGGTTGTTTAACTTTGCATAAGACTGTGTGCACTCCCCACCAAAACTTTTGGAGATGGCTAGGTTTTCCAGTAACATACCAGATTAAACAGAATGCTTTTTAGATCCTACAGTGTTTTGCTTTGAGCCCTTTGCTTTGTTTCTTTTTTTTCTACTGCTCTAACTGGAGAAAAGAACGGAAAAGTTATATCTGGGGAAAATGTCAAATCTCACACACTGTATCTAACGGCAGCAATGATCAGCACTCAGACTTTTCAGGTGTATAAACTGCCTTTGGGCCAAAAGATTTTCAATGTTCTTAACTGAAAGTAACAGTGAGAATCAGGCTTTATTTGGAACATTTCAAATTTCAAACCTGTGTGTGTTTATATTCAAAGATCGCAGTGAAGCTGCACGCACGCTGTTGGAGTTGGGGGCGGATGCTGGTGTACGGGATGCTGATGGACAGCTGTGCATTACAGCCATGATTGGCAAGATGACATCAGTGGTACGTGCCATTCATCCACCACGTACAGTACTGTGCAAAAGCCAGAGACCATCCCTCATTTAATTATTTCCATATTACATGGAAATAATGAATACATAAGTTGTTCAGTTTACAGGTGATATATTTCTGAGAAGGTATAAGATAATCCACTTGCATAAGAAAGAAGAAGGTCAAAGGAAAATAAGTGTAAAAACAGGACTTTCCAAAACTGAAGTTCAAAAATTATTGAAAGCTACAGAGAAAACGGGACACCTAACCATGCAAGACCTGATAGATCACCAAAACTGTCCCCACCAGATAAAAAGAACTTTCATCTTTGAGAGAGAGGAGAAAATCAAGCTGCTTCAGATCTAAAAACATCCACAGATGTTTCTGCCCATCCTTCCACTGTGAGAAGACGACTCAGCGCTATGAGTCTGAAAGGATGTGTAGCTGACAAGAAGCTCTTACTGAGAAAAGGAAATAGACCCAGAAAAAAAAAGAAAAAATCAAACAAAGAAGCTGCTGGTGTTTTAAAACAATGGACTGTCCACCCCAGAGTCCAGACCTCAACATCACTGAATGTATTTGGGATTATTTGGATTGTGAGAAGCAGAAAAAGTAACCAACTTCTAAGACTGAACTTTGGAAGTGTGGAAAAACATCCCTGCAGATTTCTTTGAAAAACTGAAAGAAAGTCTCCTGAAGACAATGGAAGCTGTAATAAAGATGAAGAGTGAACACAGTAAACACTGAAATCTGTGATATTATATTTAGTTGTTAAAGCTTTTGTGAAATCGTTTGTTAAATATCTGTTCTCTCATTTTTTCCTGACACTGAAAGGTTAATATCTTATACTTTTTTATCAAATAAGTGATCTCTGACTTTTATGCAATATTGTTCATTACACTTCACTTTAAAAAGACTCTTCACATCTCATTTACAGCAATGATTGTTTTACCTCTTAAACTCCGTGAAGCTGTTGCCGCATCCAGACTTCCAGTCCTCATTTATGTAACTTAAACAGTTTGTGATGTTTTAATTCCTGAGTAATAATCCATAAAGGTCTCAGAGTTGAAGAGGTTAATGAACCATCCATTGAAATGTTCGTCAGGGAACTAAAAGTGGTTCTACACTCTTAAAACACATGGTTCTTCAAGGGTTCTTTAGCAAAGAACCATGAACACTGAAAGAACCCTTTGCATGATTAAAGGGTTCTTTGCATCATGAAAGTGTTTTTTAGATTGATGGAGAACGTGCCGTAGATGGTTCTATACAGAACCTTTTTGAAAACGGTTCTATATAGCACCCAAAAGCGTTCGTCTACTGTTACAAGCTTGACATCATAACCATAGAAGAACCCTTTTGGGTGCTATATAGAACCATTTTCAAAAAGGTTCTATATCACAACACATTCTAAAGAATGCTTTAATCATGCAAAGGATTCTTTCAGTGTTAATGGTTCTATATAGAACCATTTTCTTCACTAAAGAACCCTTAAAGAACCATATTTTTTATGAGTGTATGGCATCACTCCATAGAACCATTTTTATACATTCATCTTTATTGATAGATTGTAACAAGTGTTCTCATGAAAAGGTCTTGTGTGTTCTCCACAGGCCAATCTGGCACTGAATCAGTTCTGTGTGAAAGACCGAATGACCCGGCAGCAGTTCTTCTACCTTCAGCTGCTGGAGCCAGATCCCACACGCAAGACCGACTCAAAAGGTAACTGCACTGCTCAGAGGAAAGTGTGCGGATCCCTGTGATGTTGCTCAGATAATTATTTTGAATATTTGCTTAATTTGTAGGGAGAGTCTGCAGAGAGCCGACATCCCCGGTACACCACCCTCAAACTGCCAAGACTTCATTGTACTATTCATATCGGTTGTCATATATAACTAAATCATTTCTCCTGCTGTGACTGACTGACTGTAATAATACTCTCTCTCACTCTTGAAAAGCTGGAGTTCATCGTCCATCAAGGAAAGCTGGATCTCATTATGCATCCTGTAGTTCTGAAGCTTATCATGGTCAAATGGAACCTGTATGCCAGGTAAAGTACTGGTGGGCTTTTTATTTTTCTGTAATGTTTAAATACACACACATTAGAGGGGAATTCCACCGATTTTTCAAATTTTACACAGAATTAAATCTTTGAGGTGTGAACAAAGTCACTCAGAGTGTTTGTGTTTTTAGAGAAAGGCATGAAATTTGCTTTACAACACTCAGCATTTAGCTCTTTGCTATGAATGGATTCTTAAAAAGACATTTTAGGTCAAAATATTATATAAAAAGCTGTTGTAAATCAATGTCTCAGCTATCAGGCAATGTTTTCATAGTCATTATATGATACTTCATTTACTAATTATATATAATGTAACTCTTCAGACGTCTGGTTCCTATCACCCCAACTGTGAACAATACTGACTCAGTAAGTTTCTTTAGAACAGAGCATCTCACACCAAGCCACTCTGAATGACTTTGTTTACATCTTAACCATTTAATTATCTAGCAAATTAGAAAATTTGGTGGAATTCCCCTTTAATTACCAAGGCAATTAGTTTTGATTAACAAGTGAGTAATTTGTTTCTCCACAGACTGGGTGCCTGGATTCTCCTGTTACTCAACTTTTTATTTATTGTTTCCTGGACAATAGTGGCCATATCTGTCTCTGTATCGCGAGAGGAGGGTGAGCGCTATGTTTTTCCTCAGGTAAGACGCACTTTACAAACCACACAGAAACACAGTGTTCCATTAGCAGACCCATAGCGCACAGTGCATAATTATATGGTTAAGATGTTAACAGAGTCATTCAGAGTGGTTTGGTGTGAAATACTCCATTGTAAAGAAACTGAGTCAGAATTGTTCACAGTGGTGATGATAGGAACCAGATGTCTGACAAAACCCCACAGAAAGTTATTACATGATTGGTTACTAACACGCTACCTGATGCCTGAGATAATTCTGAGATAGACTTTTGTATTAAAAGAGAACATTTCTTCTAAATATATACGTTTAATAAAACTTATTTTTAAAATAGGTTTCGTGGTGGACAGATAGAGTGTGAAGGGTGTGTAGTAACCAAATAAAGCTGATGTACCATTACTTTACAATCATCAACATCACTTATGAAAACTTGTAGACTTTTAAGTTCATTGCTAGTTTTGGATAGTAAATAAAATGACATTGTTTTTGTTGTAGAATTCATGACCCCGGGTTCATCACCACCCCTGTATAGAAATCAGTTTTCTGTCATTATATATCAAACAACTCTGAATGTTTCTATTTCTTTCCATTATAATGATTAAATTATAAAGAATTTTTGAAAAATCAGTGCACAGCAGAAAAAAAAGCTGATCCTCCTGCTTTGATAGCCACACACCCACACAGACACGTTTGTTTTATATACCTTTGTACCTTGGACTAGGGTGTGGGATTCTGTCCCATATGTATTATATATGTACCTACCAATATAGAATATGTTGTATGTACTTTTCGAGTCTAACTCTAATGCTAACCTTAACATTAACCACAGTAAACATCTTTTTGGGCTACCTTAGGTTTAAGAATTAAAACATGTAGCTTTTTTTAAAAAACACTTTCAATCAGGACCACCAACATGCCCTTGTTTATCTGGTTTGTCCTGGAAAATATCCCAAAACAGTTGCACAATTACTATTTATTTGCTGAATTTAAATTGTGGCCTGTGCAAAACTTATGGCACATTTTATGTTTTTTTTTCCAGTATGTTAAAGAAATAGAAATTGTGCATTAAAATTTGCAGACAATGCTATATTTACATTTACAGATCCTCTAAAGAGAAAAGATTTATTTTAGAAAATCAGCAAAATACCCAATTTGACCAGGGGTGTCCAAACTTTTGCATACCACTGTCTATCCTCTCTGTCCAGGACTGGTGGCGTGTGTTTGTGGTGGTGTTGGCGTTAGGGCTGACTGTGTTAGAGGTGTACAGAGAGGTGATGGAGATGCTGCACTCTGGCAGAAAGCTGCAGGACTGGCAGCAGTGGAGTGAACAGAGACTCAGAGAAGACCTGGCCCGAACGCACCCCATGTGGCCTGAGGTAACACACTCGCACTCACACTACAGAGGAGAGCAGCACTTTCATAGCTGATCATAATATAATTCTGACAGGACCCGCCTCCTTTAGTTACTTTGTTAGATCTGTCAAACTTTCGCTTCAGGCCACCTGGCAGCATCAACAGCACTTGTCTTATGCTAACATACTGAAAATTGAATAGCACAAAGCACAACTTCAAAGCATGTAGAGGAGTGCATTTAAAAAAATTACATTATTTAAAAATAAACCAACGTTACAAGGTTTTAACGGGAGACAGACAATTCAAATAAAAAAATGAAACCTTTCAGCGACGGCAGGTTAGAGCAGGAGGTTTCCATGTCTAATAAGAGGAGGTTTGAGTTTACAAAGTTGTCTCTTCAGATTAATGAACGTTAATGCTGGAGCTAGTCAGAGCAATATTAAATGATGAGGAGGACAGTTCTGTTCTACATCATCACTTCTAGTGTTTCAATAAAGTTTGCTAAAAGATGGGTTGTATTTATCTTTACACAACATATTTAATCACAAACATAAGTGCTGTAAAGTCCTGTTTAATCAGTCTTTTAACAAGCTAACTTTCAGCAGCTACGTTAACGAAAGCTATCTAGCTAACATAGTAGTGCATTGTGTCGCAAAGCCTAGTCTGTCTACGGCAGAAATGGCAAGTGTGTGTGATGTCGAAACGTAAACAAACCACAGACCTGTCAGAAAAAGCTCAAAGCTCTAGCTAAAATGGTAAGTCCTTATAGGGAAGTCTGTTTACTCAGTGGCCATCTTGGCAACACTGCCAGGCAGTTGTTAACAGTCATACCAGCCCAGGCTTCCATCTCTTTGAATGTGGAGAGACGAAAATACTCAAAAAAAAGCTGATGGCCAAAATTACCGTTCCAAAAACATTTGAAATCACTGGTAAAATCTGACAAAAAACGTCTCTCTTTATTAAAGGGCACAAACAGATGCCATGTTGAGCATTACAAGATTTTCCATTTATATTTCAACCAGTGATCGGTCTCCTCCTTTATAACATGTCTGGATGAGTATCCTAGCTAGCTATGCTATTTATCATCAGTGTATAAATATTTTAGATAATTAGGTACATATTTTAAAGGTAAATAAAAAATAATAATACAATAATACATAGTTGTAATATATCAATAATAATGATTGAAATCCCTAAAGCAGATAACATCTATTTTTTGGTCAACCGACTTACCTTAGTGGGCTAAGGTACAATTTATATTGTCTGTAATGATATTCTATAGTATTTATTTTATTCCAAGCCATATGAGAGACAATTGAATCTAATTCCCCACACATATGTGGAAATAGCCAGTTTGTTTGGTTGTAGAGATCCTCTCTTTCTCCACTTCATGGATGCATTTCTCCTCATCCACTTCAAGGTGGAATAGAGTGATGCGATGCATCGAAAGTACAAATGAGGCGTCCGTCAAAAATAGCATGTCAAACTGCACCTCACCACACCGCACTCTTCCACTCACAGCTGGTGTACCTTAATTTATTATAGCGGGAGCATTTCGGTTTTGTCATTGTCACCCACGCCACTTGCTGTTAGGACAAGGTGTTATCCTAACAATTCTGACTAATTTACTGCCATTGCTACTGGACAACAGCAACAAAGAAAACCATATAATTTTATACAGATTATGTTTTCAAAATCTGTGCTACTGGTAATATTTGAACAGCTTGCTTTGTTAGTAAAGTTGCAATTTGTTACATTTCCAGCTCTTCAGATAGTGATTTACATCCATGCGGATAAATTAACTGATGCCCCTAAAAGCACTGATGTATTTTATTTTGTCCTCAAGGAACGTCATTACTTAGAGGGGCAAATCAAGTTCATCTACAATTTGAAGGGGAGCTACTCACAAGACCCTTGGTAGAAGCCTGGAATTCTTTTGTTATAGAATATAAGCAATAAAGCAGTGTGACAGCCAAACAGTCTTATTTCATTAATATTTGTCTTGCAGGAATATATTTGATTGGCTTGTGTATATATTGCTGATATCAGTTTTGGGGGTCCACTTGGCCGACATCTACCTGGTGTCCCGCACGCTCCGAACGTACAGCCTCCGCATCTTCGCTGTGGCCATCATCTTCCTCTGGCTGAGGCTGATGAAGCATGTTCGAGCCTTTAGGTAACAAGCATCACTTCAGCATCACCAAACTCTAATAGGGACACCTGGCAAGTAGCCACAGTTGCCATGGTTATACATCCGGCAGACCAAAGGCGTTATTAGTAACACCTGGCTTGGGCCGTTGGCTGCCGTGGTAATGTGGTCTCTCAGACAGAATGCCAGAAGAAGAATGGCAACACCTGGTTAGCGGCCTACACCACCATGTGGCTTTTCTCAGGTTTCGCCATGCACTACAGGTGGTTTCTCCTTTGTGCCTATGTAACCATGGTAACATCTGCTCAACGGCAGGGTAACCATGGAAACATAGGCATCAGAGGCTTGCGCACCATATGGTTAAAGTCCCCAGTTAGAAGAACAGGATGTACAATGATGACCGATGCATATTTCATACATCCTGTACTGAAAATCAGAATCAGAATCTTTTCTTTCGCCAGATAAAAGATGGACAAGGAATTTCTCTCCAGTCTCGACACAAATTTCAATAGAAAATATCTATCACAAAATAATAAACAAAACCATGAACAGTGTTCATGAATCATGTTGTCTACATTATAAGTGCATTACATGTACATACACTATGTACTGTTTAAGATGTGAACAGTAGATATTTTATGTAAATTATATGTAAAGTTGTATGCAGAAGTTTCAGCACCCCTGGTCAAATTACATCTTTTGTTGATTTTCTAAGTGAAAATAAATTAACACACCCCATACTGACAGCACCCCTTTAATGCACAATGGAGTTTCACTCCAAAACATTCTATATCCATTTGTAAAAAGTTTGGATGTAATGAGCTTTTTGAAAAGAACAACAGCTGACATTTATAGAAAACACATTTTTTTTCTCTTAAAAAGATGATTCAGATTGTACTATAGCAGGGGTCCAATCTTATCCGCAGAGGGCCGGTGTGGCTGCAGGTTTTCATGCCAACAAAGCAGGAGGTCACCTGATAAAATGTTTAAAGAGTAAGACCAACTGATTAAACAAATAGAATCAGGTTAGGGTCAGCTTGCTTGGAGTAAAACCTGCAGCCACATCAGCCCTAAGAGTGGACACCCCTGTACTATAGCATTGATATTTCTTGTATGTGTAAAGCCCACTCCCAACAACTTGTATCACAAAAAAGAAAATTCTTTAAAGTGGTCTATAATGCATTTTGCAACAAAATCCTTTTACTCAATTTGCTGTTTGTCAACATGTTGGGGGAGAAAATAAAACACAAAATGTAACCTTTTAGCCTGTGCAAGGTTTAGGGCATATTTTATATTGTATGTTTTATAGAAACTATACTGTATTTAAATTTGTTCCTGGCAGAGGAGGTGTTAACTTATTTTCATTTTATTGATATTTTTACAAAACATGTCATTTGTAATTTGTTTAAATTTTGCATATGACTGTACATTGCAGTATATGCTCTTAAGTTCATACTCCTGACGTCATATAACTCCACTTTTACCCTTGTGTGACCCTTTTCCCTTCAGCCTTCACATGGTGTTCTTGTAAAACACTTCATATGTCTTTACTTATTAACATCACACGTACAGGCTCAAAAAGAAGGTCCAGCTAGGTGTTTAGGTCTTAAATGCAAAATCAACATTATACTGATGACGTTCAGAAGACAATAGTAGATAATTCACTTCCATCCTCGGAACACGTCCTTCACCAAGCTTTGACTGAGTTCTCACTGAATACTCTTTCAATTCACTCACAATCATCTGATTCATCTGACTGGGGAAGGAGACCAAAACATAACCCACATTTCAAAACGTTCTTCCAGGCAATTACACCTTTTCTCTACAGATCCCCAAAACTTGAGAAGGGTCTGACTGTTTCACTCCCGCAGTTTCAGGCCAGTGGAACACATGCGCAGTAGGAAAGTGCAATTGTGCTGTGTAAAGAAAGTCCTTATAGGAAAATTGAGCGTTACAAGCGTTCCCATTCATATTTCAGCCAGTGGCCAGTCTCCTCATTTATAGCATCTCTGATGTAAACAGGCGGCTGTTTGTGCTGGTTGTATGTGTCGCCAAACATATTAGCATTCAGGAAGAGATATTGTTGCCAATATATGAATCAACCACTGGTTAATGGTTTAAACCAAAGGCCAAAACACATTACAAAAACCATCAGAAACCAAAAGAAACAAAGTTTGTTTTGGTCTAAAGCTTTAAAATATATCATTAGCCCAATGCAAATTTATCACAAATGTATTAGAAACCTACATAAAATGACTGAAATGGTGATTAGCCTCAAACCCGCTGAGAAAATCCAAAACAAGTGTTGGCACATGTGCTGAATGCCACTGGCTTGAACCTGCTGGAGTGAAATTGCTGGCTTGAAACTTTGGCTTTGTGGCTCTGCAGACAAATATGATTGGGCAAAACTTACTACTACTTGAAAAAAAGTGACTGCTTATACCGCTTATAGCAAGAAATGGTCCTGGTGGGTAGGGTCCCTAAAAGAGTCCTTAGTTAGGAGAATTATAGCCTGGGCAAAGAAGTTGGTCAATGCCAAACTTTTGTTCTCTTATTCTCAGCCTCCACTGCGAGGGAAACCAGTTCACACGTTCTGTACTACAGCCAGGAATTCTAACCAACACTATCACAGTTCCCTGATTAATAAAACCATCAACAAATCAATGATATTCTATCAATCCTTAGGGTTATGGGTCCCTTTATTGTCATGCTGGGGAAGATTGTGAGTGCTGTGCTGCGCTTCCTCTTCTTGTATGCTGAGATCTACATCCCATACGCCTGTGCTTTCTGGATTATATTTGGAGGTGAGATGTCATATTTATTTGAATAAGATTTATGATAGACTATATTGTAAGTTTCCCATGTTTCAGCTAAGCTAAGCCCACTCTTTGCTCTAAGGCTTAGCTGATGTTCCCAGTATGCGGACAGTGCCTCAGCTGCTCTACAGTCTGTACCGGATGACCCTGGTGGATGAATATGAGTTTGATGCCATGGTGGCTGTGGACTCCATCATGGCTCACTTGCTCTGCGGGACATTCCTGGCCCTGTCTGCTGTTCTGTGTGTCAACCTGATGATTGCCCTGCTGTCTCACACTTTCCAGAGGTAGAAGAGAGAAAACAAATGACTATTGTGTCATGTAGTTGTTGTTGGATGGTAGGCATTTTATTTGTGCTTCAAAAAAAAAGCTTCTGCGCATTGTTTCTGTAGAGTGTATGACAACGCACTGGCCAATGCAGTGATGCAACAGGCGTCCATCATCCTGCAGGTAGAGGAGTCCATGCCTCATCTGCGTCGCTTCTACGACAACCAGTTCATCCACCGCTACTGTGCCCCTCTTGAAGAATTTTACGATGATAACATTGCAACTGATCCAGATCAGCATGAAGAGACGAAGAAGCTCACAGCACAGATCAAGGTACCATAATATGCTGACAGACCGATTGAATTCCTCAAATTTCAGTTCGAAAGAAAGAGTGGTCTAACTCTGAAATTCTACAGGATACTCTGGATGAATATTTGGACATACAAAAACAGACAAAACCACCCAGACCAGCTCCTGCAGATGACAGTAAGATAAGTCCCAGGTGGGTTTATTTGGGTCTTGATGGCATGATAAGTGTCTTACTTTGAAACAGTGGTCTTATTGTTTAGTACTGTTCAAAAGTCAGAGACCACCCACACAGACACAGCAGTGCTGCTGGAGTTTTTAAACACTGTGTCCACTCACTGTCCACTCTATTAGACACTCCTACCTTGTTGGTCCACCTTGTAGATGTAAAGTCAGAGACGATAGCTCATCTGCTGCTGCACAGTTTGTGTTGGTCATCCTCTAGTCCTTCATCAGTGGTCACAGGACGCTGCTCACAGGACGCTGCTGGCTGGATATTTTTGGTTAATGGACTATTCTTAGTCCAGCAGTGACACTGAGGTGTTTAAAACTCCAGCAGCACTGCTGTGTCTGATCCACTCATACCAGCACAACACACAATAACACACCACCACGTCAGCGTTACTGCGGTGCTGAGAATGATCCACCACACAAATAGTACCTGCTCTGTGAGGGTCCATGGGGGTCCTGACCACTGAAGAACAGGGTAAAAGGGGAGCTAACAAAGTATGCAGAGAAACAGATGGACTACAGTCTGTAATTGTAGAACTACAAAGTGCACCTATGTAGTAAGTGGAGCTGATAAAATGGACAATGAGCTTAGAAACAAGGAGGTGGTCATAATGTTATGCCTGATCGGTGATTACGCAGAACTAAACATATACATAACTAAATATAACGTTTTTCAGGATTTACAGTGTCCACCCTTTGCCTATTACAGCTTTCATTATTTTTATGAGACTTGCTTTCAGTTTTTCAAAGAAATCTACACAGATATTTTTCCACACCTTCAAAGTTCTGTCTCAGAAGTTGGTTACATTTTCCGCTTCTCACAATCCAAGTAATCCCAAATGCATTAGTGATGTTGAGGGTCAGTCCATTGTTCTGAGAACACCAGCAGTTTCTTTGTTTGATGTATCTTTTTCCTTTCCTCAGTGAGGTTCCTCTTGACAGCTACTCATCCTTTCAGGCCCATAGTGCTGAGTCGTCTTCTCACAGTGGAAGGATGGACAGAAACACCTGTGGATTTTTTCAGATCTGAAAGAAGAGTGGAGCTTGATTTTCTCCTCTCTCTCAAAGATGAAAGCTTTAAGTGCTGTGTGTGCTCTGATGGTGACAGTTTTGGTGTCTACAGGGTCTCGCACCGTTGTTAGGAGCCCCATTTTCTCTCTAGCTTTAAATCATTTTTCAAAACTCCAGTTTTGGAAACTCTTAGTTTTTCTCTTATTTTTATTTGCCTTCCCTCTTCCCTGTACAAGTAAATTATTTTGTACCTAATCTCCTCAGCAATATCTCTTTAAAAAAATATTATCTTGTACTTAATGGCCATTAAATGCATGACGAGATGGTCTCAGACATTTGCACAGTACTGTATTTCTCCATCATGCATAATTTGACCAGTGACCTTCCAGAAAAGAATGTGTAAAAGCTTATGAACCCATTCTTTATAGACGGAAAAGCTCCACATCTCCAGTGCAAAGAGAAGATCTTGCCACTCTGAGAAAACTTGAAAACAACCAACAGCAACAGTGTCAGGATCTGCGAGACTTACGAGAAGATGTAAAGAAACTGCAGGCACTGCTGCGCCAACTGATTCAGTCAAAGCCTTCAGTATGTGAGTGTCTCTTTGAGGTCTGAATAAACTCTTCATCTCAGCATGAGAGAAGGAAATTTGAGAAGAGTCATGCAGTTTGTCTTCATCTTTAGACTTTAATCTAACCATAACAACATATTACAATCACTCACATGGTTGTGCTTATGTTCACAGCTGCCGAGGATGTTCCTACTACATCTACTGGAATGGCCAAATGAGCCATATTTTGGTTCTTGACTTTGGACTGTAAGGAGACTTTCTGAAACAGAGACAACATGTGTGGAAACTGTACAACAAACTCTAACGACATGAGGACAGTGGTGTAATATTGATCAGAGCTCTGGTACAGATGGCAGGGAATTTTGCATTAAAGGGCCCTTACCATGGAAAACTGATTTTATTCTTGTTTTTTGATTTTATTTATTTATTTATTTTTTTAAATAAAAGTGTTCAACGTCATATGTGAACATTGTTAGTTCAAAAATATACTGCTCCACATTCCATACATATCAATATATAGAAACTCAGCTGCAAAAACAGTCAGCTTTGAATTTGTTGTTTTTGTGATGTCACAGAAACCAACACATTTATATTTACTCATCGTCCTTGAGGAGTTAAGCCCCCTTTTCAAGTTGTTATTTAAAAAGAGTGTTTCAGGGCAAAGTGTTTTTTGCATGAGGCATCCAATCAGAGGAAAAGTTATTTAAATATGCATAGACCTTAAAGGCACAGTAGCAAAAACAGTTCAATTAAGTGGAACCTATAAAGAGAAGTTGATGAATTATGAATGATGACTGTTTTCGGTACATTAAAGACAAAATACAAGAACAAAATTTGGGATATGGCTTCTTAAAAAAGTAGACTAAGCTGCTGAGCTTCTTTAAGTCAAATTGAATCTCTTTATCCTGTGTTTAGCAGTGTTTTTGCCACATATGACCAAAGAGTACTATGTTACTGTGCTAGTAGGCCAACAGAGTGTTACATAAGGGAGGTGTCTACATTCGGGGCTCGATCTCCAGAGCGCCAGTGATTCGTTGTGAGTCAACAACAGTTTGTCAGCTGAAAAGTTTATCCATTTCTTTTCGGAAGTTGAGCGAACGGCTGATTTCCGCTTCCTTCGCCCGAGCTCCAGCAGTGAAGTGAAGATGGCGGCGGCTGAAACTGATCGTGAAGTCCCGTCTGCTCTCTGCAGCGAATTCCTCAATTTTTCAGCCAAGGACACCGCTGCGGTAGGGGACAGTTTTATAGAATACATCATAACCTGCTCCATTTCTGTCCGGTGTATTTAAAAAATGCAGTTATTCCTCCTTCTGTGGTATTTTTTTCGTTTTTTCTTCCACTCGGATTGTTTTCCTCAGAATAGCTGTCGCTGCTGCTAAGCTAACGCTAACGTTAGCTGCACAGCTAACCCAGCTACAAAACCCAACTTGCTTTCTTGCAACTGGACTAGGCAGCAAGTTACTTACCGATGGGTTGCCAAACATCGTATTTTAACCATAAATTGTAATTGTTTGTGTTGTCCACGAATGTCATTTTGCTTTTCAAAGCCATTAGCTTGCATTTTTCTTCAGTTTCTCTTCAGCGTTTTAAACTGCCTGCCTTCATAGCTTTTATCTGGCTCAATAACAGCGAAGCTGGAGTCTTTCTTACTCGCCAGCTTCTTGTTGGAAGTTTCCTGTTCCACCTTAAATGGTGCAGCCTCAGGTGTCAGAATGTAACTGCTGCACCATTTAAGGTGGAACGGGGAAATTCGGACAATAACCTGGCGAATAGAAAGCCACATTCGCCAACAGGGGAGATGTTTTGTCATGTCGAAGTGATAAACAGCATTGCTGGCTTTGTTCTTACTTTAGCCCGGCTATAGCTCTGAAATGCAACTAAGTGTATGTGATTCTAGCTCTAAACGCTGAAACAAATGTCCACTGGCTAACCTGTTATTATTCTGGTCAGCTAAGTGCTGTTTTTGTCAGTATTTCAGGCTTAGATAAGTTTACGTTTTGCTTGTGGCTGCAAATTACAAGCCGACCTCGGTCTTGTCAGGTTGAGGAAAACCTTCTGTGGTTTGCTGGTCAGGTAGCTAGCTAAGTGACTCAAATTTGCCACTGTTGTTAGGTATCATCACCAGCTGGGCTGTTCTAGAGTCCAGTAGTCCGGGGACTTCACATATAAACGACCAAAAAAACAACTGCCATAGATTCAGATTACTGGCTAAATTTCTCTTAACTTGTAGTTCTAATGCTGGTTGTTTGTGTACAGTAGCACAGACGTTGGCCACTTTTCTGTCAACGCTGTCAGGAGCCCAAAAACACAGCGTGTACTGTCAGTCATCACTTGCCTACACCGAAAGTAAAAAAAGGACATTGTGAGGTTTGACTGAAGGTTCATTTTTTTTATTAGCCACAATGTTCTGTGGCAAAAACACCACATGAAAACAAACTGTAATAGCAATGAAAAGACCGCCTACTGTCTGGGCTTTGTAGGTATAATCCAGGTTAGTAGGTCAGAAAGTGCCAAGTTTCATTTGCCCATGTAATCCCTTTGCATGTGTAATGCCTTTGCCACAGAAATGGAATAAATTAGTCGAGTAAACTCTTAAATGTAATAAACAATATGTGATCACATTATTTATGTCTGGAGTGCCAAGCAAAAACGAGACTGAAATGTGTAGATATGCTGTGATCTTAACAAGATTAACGTGCGTTGGTACTCAAAGATTGAGCTGTGATCTAGAATCCATTTTTGTGACAGGCAAAACCATAAACTGGGAATCTGATTCAAATTTAGTTCCCAGGTTGCTCCTATTGAGCTATATTTTTAATACTAAGCTGGGTGAGAACCGACAAGGCCTGTTTTCAGAGTAGTCCTGCTGATATTGCATCAGATCAATCTCTTATTTCTGATTAATTTCCTGACGAGAACAGATCCTAGATCAGGACTCCTGCTTTGAACTAGGGGTGGGAATCTCTAGGCACCTCACGATTTGATTCGATTACGATTCAGAGGGCTGCGATGCGATTATAAAACGATTGTCGATGCATCTCGATGCATCTTTTTTTTTCTATGTAGCATTTATATTTTCTCACTGTGTGAGCTCAAGTTTCAAGTTCAAGTTTCAAGTTTATTTGTCATTTGCACAACATGTCAGGACATTTATGCATTGAAATGCTTGTGGTGAGGCTCAGCTAATCACTCTACAGAAGGTAAATAAGTAAAAATAAAAATACAAGAAAAAACAACTGAAATATATTAAATATACACAAAATATATACAGAATATAGAGACAATATACATTTTAAAGTGACTAAGTGACTCAGTACTTTTAAAGCGAAGTATTTGTAATGATCCATAATGAATTTATTTCCAATATTAATTATTAATAAATCAAATGGAAGTGATGTGGCAAGTGAACTAGAAGGCTCTCATTCAGTGCTCTTGTTTGGAGCACGAGAAGCTGCTTAAAATGCGATAAAAGGGGTGGGGGGGGTGTGTCGCTGTGTCAGTCAGGTATCTTTGAGACGGGACGTGTACAACATAGCGCGAAAGCCCTGTTTCGCAACGGCCTGAGAACTGCAGGTCACATAGCAGCGATGCGTTATTTGCATTTATAAGCAGCGCAGTTCCTTTCCTGGTACGTTAAATCTGCAACGAGAGACTGTCAAACACTAAAAAGTGGCGAAGCTGAAGTCGCTTCTCTTTTGAATTCTCCCGTTCCACCTTAAATGGTGCCGCATTTACATTCGGCGCCTCAGTCAGAATTTAAGGTGGAACTGGTAAATTCGAACAAGAAGCGACTTCAGCCTCGTAAAACAGTCGAACGTTCAGAGACATTTAACTGATCAACTTCTGAGGAAAGGTTTTCTGGCAGAGATGGGAGGAAAGCGGCTATAGGCGAAGCTTAAAGCACAGCAAAGTAAATCTGCGTTTTCGTTTATATTGTTTAGTCTATACTAGGACGTTAGCACATACTGAGACATACTGGACATTAAATGTTGTGGCTCCCAAGGTGGTTTGAATTTGTTGAAAGGACAAAATGGCTCTTCTTATAATTTGTGTTGTGACTCCTGACCTAACCTGGCTTTAATGCAGAGGGAGCCGGTCGGATTTCTCGCTCACCCAGTTGTGTTTTTGTTATGTACCGTCACAGACTGTCCGGACGCTGCACTTCCGCACTTCCAAGTTCCGCCTTTTGCGTTCCGTCAACATTACGTTATAAATTAAATATTTAGAAAATCGATTTTTGACATTTGTGAATCGATTCAGAATCGTTCACGTCCGCATCGCGATGCATCTAAGAATCGATTTTTTCCCGCACCCCTACTTTGAACCTTTATGAATACAAACTCTGTGCAGGGTTTTTCAAATTTATAGTTGTCTTCTTGCTCTACCTGATGTGCAAGCAGACTATTGGTATGGAATTACATGTAGTTTTAAATGCAGTCGGGTTGCTTAAGAAACAGTTTGAATTTTGTTAAATTAAATTTGTTGGTGCTTTGAGGAAGGAACTTGCAACAATGTTAGCCTGGCAGGAACAGTTGCAGGCTCTTATTCATTTTGTGATTAGACAGGAGTCATGACGAAAATATAATGTCTGCTGAGGTTTAATAAGTTGGAACAAAAAACACAGTAGTGCCATATTAAAAAAAATGTTAGAGATGGCAAATCAGTATGGATGTGTATCTGTATTGGACTGATATGAGTGGAAAATGCTGGATTGAATACCTGAGGGGGAAAAAAATTAATCAGATCTGATCCAGTAATAAATCTGCCCTAAAATAGATGCACTCATATTGTGTGATGTGATGTGATGTGATGTGATGTTAGCTGTTTGTTCCTATGAATGTCTGTATAATAAGGTGCTTCAGTTAAAAATAGCATAATAGTTTTTATTGAAAACATATTGGATCAGTATCAGTATTGGCTGATGCTCAAGTTTTGATTATATATGTATATATCGGAGTGGAAGCGAGAGCCATTAATGCAAATGCATTGACATTGAAGACGTTTGCTTATTTCTACAGTCAAACTGCCTGAAGCAACATTTGTCAAGCATGATAACTGCATGTGGCATGACAGTAGCTAAGTGAACACAAATGGACAGAAAAGATGGAGAAAAAGTAAACAAAGCTTACCTCGTTCACTTCTCATCTGTAGAAGTTTGCTTGGAACAGCTGCCGAAATTTAGCTGCAGATTTTAGAATGTCCCATTTATGATGTTTCCTGTAATTGTCGGGTGAAAATTGATCACTGTGTTCACTGAGATTTTGCATGATACTTTTACTGAACAACGGTCTTGCTAGATTCTTTGCCAAAAGTCATTGGTTTGTGCATGTTTGTGCATCATTAGGGAATCAGTAATAGTATATCTCGGATTACACCTAGATTTCTGTGTTCTGTTTGCTGTTTATACAAAATGTAATGCAACACCGTTTTCATAGCTTTATCGTTATTTGAGATGCAACTTCTTGCTAACTGTCTCACAGTTATGAAACCTTAGCTATGCTAACAAACTATTGTGATACCCGCATACCGAGCCTGGCATCTCCTGTTGTAAACTAAATAAGCACACATCAGAAATAACACGTCTTGGCTGGTTTTTTGTTTTATGAATACATGAGTGTCAGGCAAAATAACAATGCACTGTGTACCAGTAGAGTTTTACGAACCTTTTAAAATTGGTTCTGTAAAGGGCCACAGTGTCTGTCAATAGCTCTGTCATAGCAAATGTGTCTGCACAGCTTGTCAGGTACTGCTGCAAAGCAAGCCCACATAAAACACTCAGGCTGCTCTAGCTGTAGTTCGATGGCTCTCTTAGTGTCGTTCTTGGTGCCTGTCTCACACTCAGCATTCCAGATCCTCACACACAGGGACTCATTTTTGTGGGTGAGAAACCAGTTCTCAAGAGAGTTTCTGTTGCTCAAACAGACCCAACATGAGGCATTTGAAAACTGTCTGATCTGAACAGAGAACGAGAATTTAGACCTGCGTTCCAAAGTGGTTTAGGTGTTGAATTGGGCCCTAGGTTTCTTTTAAGCCTACACTAACGCTACACGACTACAGATCCTAACAGATTTTGAAAACAGACGTCTGTCTTTAACATAATTTCCTGTTATTTTGTTGTGAGGACCTGCTCACTAGACGATAACGCAAAACGAAAGTACAACATGCATAACGAGTTTCAGCTAAGACAGCACTCAAAATCCCAGAGGGCCCCCCCCCCATTATCACATGATACAAACAACACTAAACTGGATGCCAGACAGGTTTCTGCTTCACACGCACAAGAAATATAGCGGAAATGCAAACCGGGGATGTATCTGGGGTTGAAATGCAGATATCACAGTCAGAACTGGAGGAAATATACAAACTGGCTGCTGACATGAAATTGTAAAGAGAATGATTATTTACTCTGAACTCAACAAGCAGTGTAGTGTAAGCCCAACTTTAAAGGGGAACCCATTGATTTTTCAGAATACATGCATAGTTCTTAGTTCGGTTATTAAGGTTTCATTCAGAGAGGTTTGATGTGAAATTCTCCATTGTAGAGAAACTCAGGGCAGAATGAATCACTGTGGTGGTGAAACCAGACATTTAATGCTTCTATGTGCTCACAGAAAATGAATTATGAATACTGACATTGTTTAGCAGTAGTTTTGCAAAAAGCTTTGGCCAAAAACATTGACATTATAAGACATTAGAGGTACATGCAGGACTTTTTAAGGTGAAATAATCCCCCAGAAACGTATTTTTTCTGCTTTCTCACTGTGTTACCATTATCAAAATTATATTCAAAACTCATTACATGTACATATAGATTTTACATTTTACATGTACGTTTTAGTCATTGTGACCTCTGGTTCCTATCACCGCTACTATGAAGAACTGAGTTGTTTAGTTTCTCTACAGTGAACGATTTCACGTCAAACCAGTCTGGATGGCTTTATTTGCATGTCAGCGAGTGAATTATGCAGAAGTTTTGTGAAGTTGGTGGAATTCCCCTTTCATGTCTGATGCGTTCTGCAGATGTCCCAGAACACATGCCTCTCTGTTCTTCAGGAAATAGCCTAGATCGAGCAGGGTTTAACCATGACAACATTAGTTGGAAAGGAAAGGCTGATTTTTGCAGATAAGTTATTTCAGTAATTGTCTAATCAGTTATTGTCTAAATGGTTGCTTCTGGCAAGTCAGAGGTGTGAGTCTGCTCTGTGCACTGAATTGTGTGGCCATGGTGTCCAAAAATCTCCAAATTTCATGCTGGTTGTTGACCATCTGATTAAACTCTATTCCAGTTCCTTTAGAAATTAGCTCAGTGCCATGAGCTGCTTTGTCAGATTTACTTATTCTTGTAGTTTTTTTTTTTAATGAGTGCTCTCACCAGAACTTGGCGTTTGGAGAAAGTGAGGAACACAAAAAGACCAAAGCCTGAAACACTGCCTCTGGAAATCTGTCACATTTTAAACATGACATGGTTTTTGTAACTTAAGTCTTGCGCTCAACAAATAACTCAGTTATTTCAGATAGCTCATATTCACATGTAGATATTTTAATATGACTCTTAATATTTATTAACTGAAGCTATTCCATGAAGATAGCAACTTTGACATAGTGACCTATTTTTGTCTTTTCTCCTCCTTTTCCGACCTTACACACTAATGTATGTTAAAAAAAAGTCTTTCTTCGCCTGTCACGTTGCTGACATGCATTAGCCTTTCTTATGCTTGTCTTTGTACTTTGGTGGTTCATGTTTACAGTTGTTTGTTTTGTTTGTTTTTTTTTTCTTTCTCTCCCCCCACTGGTATGTAAAATGAGGTCTGCATTCCCACAACACTTGCCACAATATCTTGCAGAACGGGACTAATTTTCAGCGTCACACGTTTCAGCGTTTTTTTTTTTAATCATGTTCTGACTTCTTTACATCTAGATTAGCTGATGGCCAAGTTTGACAGATTTTTGTTAGTCTATTTATTTATTCATTTATTCATTATAAACTCTCATAATGTGATAAAGCTCATAATGTGTGGGCTAAATAAACACATAAAATGTACTGTCTCATTTCTAGCACGTTGTCCAGAGTTGCAGTATAAATAACTGTGTATTATTTATTTGTTCTTTAATGGGTCAAACTGGCATTTCAAATTTGTAGATGAAAAATAATAAATGAATAATGAATTTTTTAGCCATTCTCTGCCTTACTGCACCACAAAAGAGAGATATTCACTGCTTATTACCATTGTGTAAAAGGCTATTACATTATCATCGAATTAGTACTAAGAACTATATTTGACAGCTGAATGAAGTACAGAATATTTTTATTGTGCAAAATAGTTAAGAACAGAACTGAAATGTATATAGAAAACCTGTGGTCTGCACACATAAGCAGGGAATATCTTTTCTTGCTCAGCAGAAATGTTGTTTCACATCTCAGTTTCTCAAGTCATTTGTCTCGAATGTGCGTCACATTCACTTGTGCTACAACTCCGGGCATCGGAGTTTCGCTGGACTTGATTGAACCAAAAGGCTGCGAGAGCATGCAGTGTGACCTACAGAGGCACCTCGCAGATGAAGCTATTGGACATGCATGGCTAATGTGCTGCTATGCTTAAAAACTCAAATTACCTCAAGAGACTGCCAGTTCCTTCTTTGTCTCTCTAGCATTTGTTCCATCAAAACCAATCTGGGCTGACATACTCAGACTTTAATTGACTACACAGTGGGAGATGAGTGATTACTGAAAGAAGCCTGACTCAGACTCAAGTAAGGGGCTCCAGTTGGTGTGTTTAACACTGTATATTGCGTTATCTGTTGTTTTTGTGACACATCGATGAAACCAATCGCTTAGGAAGAATTCTAACTGGTGTATCACCCACTACTACGTGTGTGTGTGTGTGTGTGTGTGTGTGTGTGTGTGTGTGTGTGTGTGTGTGTAAACAGAACCCAATCACATCAAATAACATAAGCCATTGTATAAAAAGTAGTCCAACATTATATGTTTTGCTTGTCAAAGGTATGCAAACCTCTAGAATTATTAGCTTGATATAGGTAATAATTACAGTCAGGAGTTTGTCAGTTGATTGACTGTGTGACTGACCCTGCCCTATTAAAAAGATTAACCATCTTGGATTAACCATCCAAGTCTTCTCCATCAAAGTCTGGTCTTTACCACACAAATTTATTAGTGCATGCCATGTCTCAGTCAAAGGAGATTTGTCAATGTTCATTAGGCTGGAAGAGATTTTAAAACAGTTTGAACTTCATTGATCCACTGTTAGGCAGATAGTGTACAAATAGAGCAAATTCAATACCACTGTTACCCTTCCCAGAAGTGGTCATCCAATAAAAATGATTTCAAGAGTAAAGCTTACAATATTCTGTATGAAAACAAAGAACGCCCAGGGTAACATCTAAGGATGTGCAGGCCTCTCGTACACTGGTTAATGTCAGTATTCATGAGCCCACCATCAGGCAAACACTAAATAGGAATAGTATGTATAGAATATTAGCCACTACTCTCCAGGAAGAACATTGCTGCCTGTTTAAAGTTTCTTAAAGACCACCTGGGTGAGCCAGAAGGCTGAAATAACACTGCATGCCAGCAGAAGACCTCATCCCAACTATGAAATTGGTGGTGGCAATATCATGGTTTGGGCTGTTTTGCTACTATTGGACCAGGAAAGCTTGCCTTGATTCGATGGAGCTATGAATTGTGGATTGTGTCAAGACATTCTACAGGAGAAGATTAGGGCATCCATCTGTGAACTGAACCTCAACAGAAGGTGGGTCCTGCAGAAAGACAGTGACCCTAAAACACCAGTTAGTCTACAACGAATGGCTGAAGGAGAAAAAAATTAGCATTTTGAAATGGCTGTGTCAAAGTCCAGACCTTAATCCAATAGAAATGTTGTGGCAGGATTTAAGATGTGGCATTCATGCAATAAAAGCCCACCAACAAAACACAGTTGAAGCTGTTCTCCCAGCCTCTCTCAGTGGCAGGTTAGGGAGTAAGAGCACAGCGCACGCACGGGTTAACCAGTGCTTCACCGAGGTGGTCTAACTCGAAGAATGAAGGGCATTAATTATGACCCTACCAAGGGTCCAGTTTAGTGAGGCACTGTTTGCAGCTGCCCTGGGAATACATGCTGTCTAGCCCGATGTTAGCAAGATGTTCAGTGCTGTGGAGGGGGATGTCAGGCACCTGAGCCGAGATGGTACATATTTTCACATTTTGACAATGCAGTTAAAAAGTGCAAAAGTAGTAAAAGAATGAGCTGACAAAATGTATTGTGGCGTCAGCGTGCTGCGTTCTAAGTAGTTCAGTTTTTTTTAAAGAGAAGAAATGTTTGTTTGGCTGTTTTAGGTTTATTCGTACAGGGACTTTTATGTTGAAGAGCCTGAATATGGGATGCAGTTTTGGGTTTTCCAGAGTAGAGCAGAGGGCTGTGTTTTTAGTTGTTAGCGTTGGAGAGGCTGGGTTTCCTCTCATTGTGTTTGGTGCTGTTTTCAGCAAAAATAAAAATTAAAAATAAAGCTGCTTTATGGACCATAACATTGAGTCATGTAAGTTTCTTTCGAGAACCCTGAACATTACAGTATTTTGCATTTCGCCTTTATTGATAGCCAGTAAAGAAAAAATAATCTCAGGATCCCAAAACTAAAAACTGAATATCCAAAGGAAGAATATCAGGAAATTCCAGTTAATTAACTAAACCTGATCAGTATCTCTAGAATATGTGGTGAGCAGGGGCTGGTGCAACCTTTTATACCAAAAATAAAAGAATAAATGAATAAACAAAAGCCTAACTATGAGAGCAGGTTTGCAACATGCAAGATACTGTAAAGAACAATCTCAGACTTGTCTATATACATCACAGATTTAACTACAGGATATTTCTGTGTTGATATTCACTTGCTGGGTAGGAATGGCAATATGTGTAAACGGTGGTGTCAGAGTGATCAAACTCAGTCAAGTACATTTGTCATTTTAACTTATGTGTTTAATTCAGTTATATTTTTAAGATGAATAGTACAAATTAAAAAGGTGTCTTGCATTTTCAAAATTTCTAAGTTCTGCTCTGTATTCTCCCACAGAAATGGCTGCAGGCAATCGATCTGCCCAAAGAGGTCTATCAGCACCTTGCTCGCTATGTGCCCAAGATATATTGTCTGGGGCCCAACCTGAACCCTCAGAGTGAAGACCTGCTAGCCCAGCTGCTTCTACAGGCTCCACTGGAGTGGTACCTCTGTGGGGAAGAGCCGTCACTTGGCCTGGCAAAGCTAGAACAGAGCAACCAACCTTCTCAACTCTGTGGCCATGTTTTTAAAGTGGGGGAGCCCACATACTCCTGCAGGTAAGGGACCACCACTCCTTTTGTAACTTCATGCTGTGTAGTTAATTTATTTGGGGCATAATTAGCCAATGACAATACTTTGCTAGCTGGCTTTCAGTTGGCAAATGTTCCATGTAGCTCAAGTTATTACATCACCAGACTGTACCCAGGTTGGACACTGGGACTGCAGGCAGTCCTGACTGAATTAGGTCAGGTTGCTACTAGGTTAAGTCCTTCAGGCCAGCTTGCCATAAGCCTGCTGAGAGGCTGGATTGTGGCGTGTCTGCTTTCTTGGTGACGCTTTGTTAGCACAGAGAACACAAGGAGCACCAAGGGTTATGACTTGTTCATGTATTACTTATACACTTCAGTTCTTATTTTAAGTGCATTTTTCCACAAGTATTCTGTGTGAATATCCAAACGCAAGAGATTGAAAGGAAATTCTTGGTTACAGTCATATGCAAAAGTTTGACCCCTCCTTTTCACAATATGTTTTGTTAATTAGTGAAATAAGTTAAAGCATCCTCTGCAGGGGACAAACTTGGAATATGGCATTTTTCTGCAAATTAGTTTTCTGTTTTCTAATTTCTATTTATTTGGTAAATTTAACATTTTGGAAAAACATGAAAACCATAACTTTTGCCATAACGTTTGGACAGCCTAAATTCTGAAAAAAAAAAGTTTTTTATTCTTTTATTTATGCTTATTATACACATTTGTGTGTATGTTTAGGTATGTGAACTTACCTAGAGTTAGTTTAACTTTTCTTACTTTACATATTTGTATTGTGATATTGGAAATGCATCATTTACAGATGTTTACTTCTCTTTGATTTAGATTTTTATTCTGTTAGATTCTCTTTGTATGTGATATGATGTTTGGTCCCATTTCTCATCTTTAGGGAATGTGCAGCAGACCCAACCTGTGTGCTGTGCATGCAGTGCTTTTTGGGCAGTGTACACAAAGAGCATCGATACAGGGTAAGAGTATATATAAAGGTCTCCTTAATGATGATATAGCTGTAGTAGTGGTACTTCGTTTAGACATGTATACAGCGTATGGGTTCCCAGCTGCTTCTGTTAGTGCAAGCTGGGAGATCAGGTTAATCCCATTTGGAAAAATGGAAACTGGCCATGCTGGTACCACGTGTTTTGGAGGGATGTGGAACGTTCTGCTCCTGGCTTTAGTCCATAGTTTTAACCACTGCATGACCTGAGTTCTGCTCATATCTTTCCATAGGACAATTGAAAATTTCTGTTTCTATTTGACTCGAGCATTAAAGTTCCACCTTAGATTAAAGCATTAAAAAGTTTATCTATAAAAGTGCTTCAGTTATTTGAATGAGAAGTGAGGCTTGTTTTGTTTGGCTGTTGGCGATGACATGTTCATCAGTAATGTTGAAAGCTTTTATTTAAATATTTTGTCTGTTTTCGTGGGCATGCGTTTGTGTATGTAAGTAATGTTTGTTTTTAAAGAACACTCTGGATCAGACCCCAGATGTTTGCTGTTGACAGATTAAGGACCTGCATGACCTGAATCTAGTTGTCACAAAAGGCAAATTACTTGAGAGAGTGTCTGTTTTTCAAGTTCTGATCCTGCCAGATCTGTCTTTGACACATGACTTACTTACTCTGCTCATTCACACTCACTCTCTCACTATGTTGCTCTCTAGATGACGACCTCAGGGGGAGGGGGCTTCTGTGACTGTGGTGACACAGAGGCCTGGAAAAAGGGCCCTTACTGTCAGAAACATGAACCTAACATCAGTGACTCCTCCCAGGAGGTAAGACTAGTTTACCTTACGGCTTGTCTCTACAGCTTTAACCCTTTTGGTCGGGTTGTGAATTGGCACAGCTGTGAATAAATTTTTCTCAACTGAGCCTGTGAATGGTCCTTTTTTTCTAATGGGGCTGTTTTCTGATTATCCCCTCTTGGAATTTGTTTTCGTAGGATCCCCTTGCCAATCTCTCTGCAGACATGATTGCACGTACATACAATATCTTTTCTATCATCCTGAAATATGCTGTGGACATGCTGACCTGGGACAAGGAAGATGAACTCCCTCAAGGCCTTGAACCACCGTATGGACATGCATGCACATACACCAAACACCATATTTGGATGTGTGGAGTTTTCGTACTGTTAAGAACATATATTCTTCAGAGTTTGTCTACAAATGACAAAAAGCTTTGTCCAGTAGGCCTGGGCGATATCTAAAAATAATTAGCATGATATTTCCTAGTTACTAAATTATGATTATTGATTATATCGCCGATTATCTTTTATATGAGTGTATATGCTTTTTTTGACCATTAACTTTTTAATGAAAATCTACATATTAAATAATACAATATTCCATAATAAAGCATAAGTAACACAACATCTTTTGGAAACTACTTCACCTGTCGTTGAAATAAATGTTGCTGCAAACACATGCAGTTATAAGCTTCTTTCTAGTGCAGATTTATGGCAGCTTGCATACTCATAGCCCTACCTGCAGAAGAAACGCTAGACTAAGTGATTTCCAAAGCCATGTGCCCGTTGTAACTCAGTATTTTAACAGTGAAAATTAATAAAACATGGTGTACATATTATTTAATATTACTTTAATATTACAGCCGACTGTAGACGGTGATCAGAAGAACTTTCTCCCCAGGTTAGAACTAGCTTTAGAGCTAGCTTCTCTGTGGTAAAAACCCAGTCACTATAGCCTGTTTTAACTGCAGTGAGTCACTGACAAAGTTCGAATGGCATTTGTTCTTGGTTACATGCACTCTAGCTAAACGTAACATTAGTAACATTAGGTAAAGCTGGCATTACAGTGTGTAGCAGAGAGAACTAACAGGCCGCTTTTTAACAAACTTTCAGACTTCTCTCTCATTTGCACTCTCTCACAAACTGTCTGTTGGGACACGTGCCCTAACAGGTCTTAAACATGAAGCCCAATTTCCCAACATATTTAGCTGTTTATTGGTAAATTATTCCTCTATGATTCTCTCTCTGTTCTTTTTCCACAGCAGTGATAATCGTTTTTTACACATCGCCATCAAGTTACTTGTCCATCATTGGCGACATCCGATTACATTGCCTTATCACCCAGGCCTACTGTCCAGCCTCTCACCAGTTTGCTCGTTAAATCATTATCTGTCCATGCCACAATTAGTTAACCATTAGTATAAAGGCTAATTCAGGACAAAATGCACTGGCTGCTCTCAATGTTGTGTTTTTATTTTATTATATGGCTATTGTATACAACCCCACTGAGTCTATTTTTCTTTTTTAGGGAACGTGGAGATACTTATTACTGCATGCTGTTTAACGATGAGGTTCACACTTATGAGCAGGTCATCTACACACTACAGAAAGCGGTCAACTGCACACAGAAAGAGGCTGTCAGCTTTGCAACTACAGTGGACAGAGATGTAAGCTCCCTCTTTATTTGCCTTCTTTTTTTTTCCCCACCATATTGTCTAGCTCAACTCTTCCCCACCATTTGAATGTCCATATACTCAGAGTTGCCAGTTTCATCACCACAGCAATATTATATAGATGCACTGTAGGTTTACAGGTAATGACTGTAGCCCTCCTCTTGCTGCACAATTTGTCAGCCACCCTACTCTGTCCTTCAGTGGAAAGAAACTACCATATGAATAGAACCACTACTAACTAATGCTGTCAGGTTGCTGAGAAATGAAATTAGAATCCTGCTAGTTAAATATATTAAAATATAAATATCAACTAATAGTTCCAGGTAAAATATCCAATGTGTGTACCTAAAGTGTCAACCCTTTGTCAAGATACCTCGTTTCATGAAGCATAACCCAGAAACTCTTCCTTCTTAACGTTCTATTCTTGCTGTGTTTTGTTTACCTCTGTATTGTGGTGTTCAGGGGCGGAAATCTGTGCGCTATGGGGATTTTCAGTTCTGTGAACAGGCCAAGTCTGTTATTGTGGTAAGTCTTCACCACTCGGCCGATTCAGGTTTTGATCTGAAACTGTTACATCTTGTCTGAGATCTGTGATTCTGCAGCTGATGTGTATTTAATCCACGTTGGTTTGCATCAGGGTCCTCCCCTGTTGGTGTGTGCTTGTAAGTACAAGTTTCTTGTGTGAAAAGTCACTACACCGTGTTTTTATTTCTGCAGCGGAACACAAGTCGTCAGACGAAGCCCCTCCGGGTTCAGGTTATGCACTCCTCAGTGGTAGCTCACCAGTGCTTTGCTCTCAAAGCCCTCACCTGGCTTGGACAGATCATCAGATACTCAGGTCTCTCCTCTCTAGCTCTGTCTTCACCCCTGCGGCTTTATTCGATCATTCAGTGTCACACATACCTCAAACCTCGGTGGCTGATATTACAGCCTTTGCATGTTTTCCTTAGGCTTACATATTGGTTCTGCTTTCTTCTAGATGCCCTGAGGAGGATTTTGTGCCAGGTGGGACTGCAGAAAGGTCCTGAAGGAGAAAACTCTTCTCTAGTGGACACTCTCATGCTCTGCGACTCAAAGATGTGGAAAGGTGAATGACAGAGAGGGTGTTTTAATATGTTAAGTACGGGTTTATTCTAAAGCCTGCATAAAGATGTGCAAATGGTCGTATAAAGCTGTTTTTCTAATTGTTTTTCCTTTAGGTGCAAGGAATGTTTACCACCAGCTGTTCATGAGCAGTCTTCTCATGGATCTGAAGTACAAGAAGCAGTTTGCTATTCAGTTTGCAAAGGTAAGCCATCCAGTCTTAATGCTAGTCGTCCATCCACCATAACCAAAGCTTCTGACAATGTTATCGCATGCATTATCAGCATAAACAAGCTATTAGTAAATTAGTTTTACGAGTTTTCATTATTTTTATTGTTTTGCTTGTACTGTTTGGGCTGGAATTATGTTCGAGCCAAATGTCACTCAAATTCAGAAAGTTTTCATACCCGATGTAAACCTGGACACACTGTGTAATGGTTAGCATTATGTACTCTCCCTAGAAATTGCTAAAGCTGTGCAGCTCGTTTGCTATCATGTGAACTTGGTCACTGAATAACCAATAGTCTAGTGTTTCCCAACCTTTTGTTTGTTTCTGAATGATGAGTCAGACCAGTGAGAGAAAAATTAGACCTTAACGAACGTCCTATTTGGCTAGTGTACATAACAATTAGGAGGATTATATGCTGGATGTACATCTCTATTGTGGAAAGTCTTTTGTGTGCACATACTCTCACAGTGGATGAGGTGGCACAAAGTTGGCACAGCACATTGACACTGTCCTTTCCTTTTGTTGGTTTGGATCGCAAGTTCAGCATGTGAGCGATAGTAACTGAGCGACTTTACCTTTGCTCTTTTTGGCTGGCTGACTGTAGTAGATCACCCCACAGCTTTGGCTCTGGCTGACCCACCGAAGCCTCAGGATGTCTGCCAGGAGCATTCAGATGTGACCTATAGTACATGCTGAACAGGTCATAGAGCTAGAACCGTAACAGATTATGCTCTGATTAACATCACAAACCCCTCTCAGAAACAGCACAACTTAAGGATTCAGGTCTCCTCGCAGAGCAGGTACTATTTGGGTGGTGGATCATTCTCAGCACTGCAGTAACACTGATGTGGTGGTGGTGTGTTAGTGTGTGTTGCACTGGTCTGAGTGGATCAGACACAGCAGTGCTGCTGGAGTTTTTGAACAGCTCAGTGTCACTGCTGGACTGAGAATAGTCCACCAACCAAAAATATCCAGTGTCCTGTGACCACTGATGAAGGACTAGAGGTTGACCAACACAGTGTGGTGGACTGACAAGGTAGGAGTGTCTAATAGAGTGGACAGTGAGTAGGCACAATGTTTAAAAACTCCAGTAGCACTGCTGTGTCTGATCCACTTGTACCAGCACAACACACACTAACACACCACCACCACATCAGTGTTACTGCAGTGCTGAGAATGATCCACCACCCAAATAGTACCTGCTCTGTGAGGGTCCATGGGGGGTCCTGACCACTGAAGAACAGGGTAAAAGGGGGCTAACAAAGTATGCAGAGAAACAGATGGACTACAGTCTGTAATTGTAGAACTACAAAGTGCACCTATATAGTAAGTGGAGCTGATAAAATGGACAATGAGCTTAGAAACAAGGAGGTGGTCATAATGTTATGCCTGATCGGTGTATAGTCATAATAGTCATGTTTGATCATTTTCTAACCTCTCTTATGCTTTTGTTTATTATGCCTTTAAGACTGAAATATATAAATGACCTGCGTTCTGACTCGCTGTGAATGGGCGGAGTTAAGCTTCTATAGCCTAAAATAGCCTGGATACTTGTAAATCTGTTGGTTTAACATCACAAAAACAGTGAATTCACAACTAGCTGTTTTTGCAGCTTAGTTTCTGTATCTGGACGGTATGTACTGGGGGTGAATGGTACATTTTGAAACTTAAACAATGTTTACCTACTACATCAAACTCTTTTACTCATAGTGAGAAATTTAGTTTTCCATAAAATGGGCACCTCTGGAGGGTCTAGTTGTTATGACCTCATGCTCCTCACCCATCCTTCTGCATTATAGTCTGTACCACCAGTTTAAGCATGTGGTATAAGTGAAGGATGAGGTGTCCCCTGACCTCTGAGCCAGAAGATGAATGTGCCCCCCCACTTTCCCTTATCATTTAGAATTACCAGCGCCTCCAGACAGATTTTATGGAGGACGATCACGAGCGCTTAGTGTCAGTGACCTCTCTGTCAGTGCAACTCTTCACCGTCCCCACCATGGTGAGTACCTTCACCCCACACACTCTTCCTCTCTTCTGCCTCTTTCTCCTCTCCTCCGCTTGCCTCGCTGCTGCTGGCAGAACTATGAGCGCTTGCAGAGCGACTACGTGAAGGATGACCACGACAGGGAGTTCTCCGTCACTGACCTGTCTGTGCAAATATTCACCGTGCCTTCCCTGGTGAGTACACACTAGAAGAAGCTTCCGCAGTGATGAAAACCCTAAAGACGCTTGTAGCCACTTGTATTTTAAATGTTTAAACTTTCTTCATTCTTTTTGAATCGACTCATGGGTAGCTACTTGAAGTGATTTTCTGTAACTAGGTCTATGCCTGGCGATGAATAATCGAGTCACCATGGTAACAGCCTCAGTGATGGTAAATGATTTTAGAGTAATCGATAGCAAGACTGCAGTATTCCCCCATGTCGACATAAGAAGCTGAACTTGTAAACATATTGGGTGATGTGATATCCTACATTAATATCACATTTATTGTACCTAAACGACTTCAATGTGGGTGAAAAAACACGTGTCAGCTCTTATTCATCAAGCGAAACGAGTCGTTTCAAACAGCCTGTGGCGTAATGGCTTCAGAGAATAAGGCAGGCTAAGCTAAGCGGTCTCAAACTCTCAGATGGTAAAGTTTGTGTCACTTGCAATTTTGTTCTTTGTTACTAAATTATGTGGCCAAATTAAAGATGACCATATACTACAATGACAACCTTCACTGAACTGCATTATATTATGTTCTTTTTGATCAAGATTAGGATTTGACTTGCATGGTATCAGGGACTGTCACAAAATAACAGGACGACTTGGTAAACAGGGTTCGTATGGGTCCTGGAAAACCTGGAAAGTTATAGAAGGCAAATGTGCCAAAATCCAGTACTGAATTGCCCTTAAAAAGTAACAAAATTGAAAAATGTACTTAAAAGTCATGGAAAATATTAGCATGAGTTTCTGTAATTGTTTATTTCATGATGTTAAAACACAAACTTTGGTAGTGACCTTTAATAGATTTTTCACAGAACCTGTAACTTCACCCATGTATTTCTCATGACCTTACATTTTCTTATTTGTGGGATCAGGTACTGTGCGCATCATGTCTTTTAGCCTGGGCAGTCTTTTAGCTAGTAGCATAGGTATATCAGTCACAGTCACACTAAATTAAGTCGAAATGCCTGGAAATGACAACTACAAGGACTGTCTTTGATAAGACAAAATAAATAAGCATAAGGTGGGATGCCTTTACTGCATGAATACTGAAAAAAATCTGACATTGAAAATGTTGGTGAGTCTGCCTTGAAAGCCTTGAAGAAAACTAAAGAAAAGCCGTGAAGTCAGCAGTATTGTTAATGAGTACTGCTAGCTTTTTAACACCACCATTAGTGTCTTCGTCTGTGATGTTAATGCATGTTAATACGTGAAGTTAAATGTTACCGTCCTCTAACAGCCCTTATGTTGGGAACGCATACTTTTGTTTTTTTTAAGCAGGTTTTAATTTTAATGATTTTACTGATGAATACACAGCTACATAGAAAGAACGGAGTATATTGTATTTCATAGCTTTTCCAGGCTGTAAACTATTTGAGTTATTTGTGACTAAAGAGGATTCGGAAATGTATTATTTATTTTTGAAGTTTTGGAATTTTACTTTTATGCCTTTAGTAAGCAAATTATATGGCAGTTTTGTTACCCCATTTCCCTCACCTCAGGCACGGATGCTGATCACAGAGGAGAATCTGATGACCACTATCATCCGCACTTTTTTGGATCACTTGAGACATCGAGACCTGCAGGGACGATTCCAGTTTGAGCGCTACACTGCACAACAGGCCTTCAAATTCCGCAGAGTCCAGAGCCTTATAGGAGACCTCAAGTAAGAAACAGGCTTTTGGTATAAAACATTAGTTTTTTCACTACAAAAATAAATATATTAATCTATGTGCCAAACATATAAAACAAAATCCTTACAATTATTTATCTATTACTAAACGTTCCTATCTTAGAGTACAGGAAATGTTTACAGCAATCAGGTTTGCATATCTTGTTGGTCATTGAGAACTTATTTTTTTCCTAACTAAAGGTATTGTAGTAATATTTCTCATCCGAGAGTAGTCTGATGTTTGTTCTTGCGGAAGAGTATTGTGCTGACCAAACTTATTTGTCTGCAGATATGTCCTGATTAGCTGTCCAACAGAATGGACTGACAAACTCAGGGAGAAGTTTCTGGAAGGACTTGACGCTTTCTTGGAGCTACTTAAGTGTATGCAGGTAAATTTTGCATTCGCAGTCCGTTTGACAGTGTGGTGTATGGAAAGTCTTGATTGTGCTGCTCCAAATAGACATTTTTCAATCAGGTTTGTTTGTGTATGTTTTTCCTTTAGGGTATGGACCCAGTAGTACGACAGGTGGGGCAGCACATTGAGATGGAGCCAGAATGGGAGGCAGCCTTCACATTACAGATGAAGCTCACACACATCATCTCAATGATGCAGGAATGGTGTGCCAGTGATGTGAGTTCTAACAGACTAACATCAGTGTTTTTCCCCTACCATATAAATTAGTAGGTGGCGCCTACAGTAACGTTAATCAGTTGATCATCAGCCCCCTAATCCCATCAACAATAATTTTTCTTTTTCTCAGCAAACAAAAAGGGACACTGCAGCCACAACAAGCAAAACCCCAACTGTTGTTCATGGTGGTTTAAACCGCCCCCCTTCACATGGTGCCCTTGTTTTAGTCTCTCATTTTCTATACACCAAACCACATTTTAGACCACTAGAGGAAATGGCACAATTTTCGCACCGCAGCGGTGCTGCTGCACCACTTGCAATACACCCTTATGCTAATTAATGTAGACTTTATACAGGGAGTGCACAGCAAGCAGTGCAGCATTCATTGCATGCATAAAGCACAGTTTTATGCTTGGTGTCTCTTGTCGCTGCATGTAAGTCATTTTTTTAGTTAAGAACACTAAAGAAATAGAGCATTCATAATATATGATAAGCAGTTCATTTTATTGCTGCTGTTGTTGTTGTTATTATTAGTATTATTATAGGTAACATAACCACTCTTACTCTAGTGCAAAAACTGAATCATGTCAGAACAAAAGTTATCTATGCAGTTGTGCTTTACTTTTTCAAAGAACTCTTCTGTAATCATTTCTGTTGTGAGAGCGCAAAAGCATATGAATAGCCTTCACGCAAAAGAGTTTTTCATAACACTGGAAGCTCTTACTATCACTGAAATTATTGCCTGCTTTTTGTAAGTGAAGCTTCTGGGTTGCGCTCAGCCAGAATTAACAAGTGTCGTCGTCGTCGTCGTCAACAACACCCTTTGTACTCTGTCACATAAGCTTTTTACCATGACACTCGAGACGCGAGAAAGTATTTTAAGTTGGGGGTGGTGAAATTTTAAGTAGTTATATATGTGACGTGAAAAAGGATGATGTTTATTTTCCTCTTTTATTTATTTTTTGTATAAATTATATCTAGCAGAGGGGAGAGATAACTAATTAAAAATATATATGTAAACGTGTGTGTATGTATGTATATTTGTTATGGATGTCCAACGAATCACATGGGTAACGTATTGTGTCGCACCACACAATAAAACCGCAGATTTAACAGTGGAACGCAGTGGGAGATAATATTTGATAATATTATGATTATTATGTTACATGACCTTTTTAAAAACAATATTAAGCAGCTTTGGGGTTCCGAACTGGTCTGTAACTCAGCACACACTTTCCCTCTTTGCACCTCAGGCTGTGTATGGCTTAGGTTTTTATTATCGTCATTATTATTATTTTTAGCAGTTGCAATAGTCAAAATCTGGTGCTGCAGCACCCTCAGTGCCTCCACTTCCCGCAGATCTGAAGTCAGCGTAATGGTGCGTAGTTGTAATTGGAAGATTTTGTAGTTAAAGTAATAATATGATTATGATATTCCTAAAATGAACTAAGAATAACAAAAGGCACTGGTCTCTGTGAAACAAAGTAGCGCTTGACTGAACTGGAGGGATGGAGACTGTGTATATGCCCTCATGTTGCCCCAGTTGTTTAGTGCTTGCTAGGGTTTGTGGAGTCGAAATTGTGCTCTCTTAGTATTGCTCAGATAGATACCAGTGCTCACTAAACTGTTTGGATTCATTTCCTACTGCGGTCTAACGTTCTGTGTGTGGGTGTGTTTGTAGGAGCGAGTGCTGATTGAAGCCTATAAAAAGTGCCTGACAGCGCTGACTCACTGCCACAGCGGCTTTACTGATGGAGAGCAGCCTATTACTCTGAGCATGTGTGGACACTCTGTGGACACCATCCGCTACTGTGTCTCCCAGGAGAAAGTCAGCATCCACCTCCCAGTGTCTAGACTACTGGCAGGTGAGACACAGACGTTAGAAATACATTCTGTGTGTGTTCACGTATTGCAGATTTTCTAATTCCTTTCTTATTCTTTTTTTTTTTTGCCTTCTTCTTAAGGACTTCATGTTCTCCTTAGCAAATCAGAAGTAGCTTACAGATTCCCTGAACAGCTACCTCTGGTAAGTCATAGTATTTTGTGCTGTTTTTAGTGCAGTTCTTTGTGTGTTGTCTGTTACCAACAGATGTCCTTTGTTCTCTTCCACAGAGTGAACTGAGCCCCCCCATGCTGATTGAACACCCGCTTCGCTGCCTTGTTCTCTGTGCCCAGGTGCATGCTGGGATGTGGAGGAGAAATGGATTCTCATTAGTCAATCAAGTATGGTCTTAAGACTACTGCATGCTCCTATATAAACATATTTATTGTTTACCAATATAAAAGGAATGCAGTCTAACAGTTCTTTTGTTTTGACTCACAGATCTACTACTATCACAATGTGAAGTGCAGAGTAGAGATGTTTGATAAGGATCTCATGATGCTACAGGTTGGCATTGGTCACATACTTTATACACATACTGCCCTGTTTCTTCTAGTGTTCTTTGTTTTAAAGGTCACATTTTTTATGAGTTTGAAATATGTGAACAATGTTAAAATTGGAAAACGGACATGTATGATAAATTATGACCATTTTAATACATAGAACATTTGTGTGGTTTTATGTGGACCTCAAGGGACAAAATAAAACACAAAAAAATAGGTTGTGGGCCTTTCAATGCTGCGTCAAGGTGTGTGCATGAAAAAGGTTCAACGTTAGTTTAGGCTAAGATTTTAACATAAATTAATGTTGCTTATATTAAAAAATCATTTTAGTCATATCTATCTCATCTCTTTTCTGTGAAATATGATTTTTTTTTTAGTGCTGATACTAGTCCTAGTAAACCTGTTATGTGAAATGTCCCTTGTACCTTGGTTTTGTGATGTGACTAGGCGGGAGCCTCCATGATGGATCCTAACCACTTCCTGATGATTGTACTTAGTCGATTTGAGCTCTTTCATATCTTCAGCTCAGCAGACTGCAGGAAAAGATACAACAGAGAGAGTGCCAACAAGGTCTGTGATTAACTTTTTAACACTGCCCTTAAACGTAATTATCTCTGCCTCCCTGTTGTTCACGGTGGTCTTTTGTGTGATTTCCTTGTTCCAGGATGTGGTCCAGCAGAACAGCACTTTGATTGAGGAGATGCTGCACCTCATCATAATGGTTGTGGGTGAGTGCACATCATTATGAAACAAATTAAAGACCCAGGGCTTCATTTATGAAACATTCGTTTGCACATGTCTCATTCTTAAAATGACCATGTGTGAAATTTTACATTTTAAGTGGCACTGTGTAATTTTTTTTGGTTAAAATTGAGAAGCAGCATTAGTGAGTCTGGAAAAAGAGAGGCAATTTCTCACCATTTGAAAATATGATGTATGTGCCCTGCTGTGAGTCACCCTGTAAAGCTTGAACTAATCATTTAAAGGTCAGAGGTGTTGGGTTGGATTTTGCGGGTGTTTTTCAGATTCACATACACAAGTTTAAAAAGGAATCCTGCTTGATATTTAGGTCTCAAATGCAAAATCAGCTTTATACTGATGAAGATATGATGACAGTAGTTGATAATTCAGTTACATATTCAGAAGACGTCACGTTGCACAATGTTCTTCCACACTTTGCATTGAGTTATATGTCACCACAAACCAAGTGTCCAAATCACTAAATCTTGCCGCTGTAAGTAGTAATTTTTATGATAATTTGATGTGAAAATATTAATAGATCCACAGAAGTTTCCATGTTGAAGTACAAACAGCGCCAGTGTTCTATAGACTTACGGAATGTGGTTTGCAAACTTCTTGGTTTTATAAATCAGTTAGATGCAAATGCTGAGAACTCAAGAACAAATTTAGAATGAAATTCAAGTATGTTTTATAAATGAGACCCCTGGACAAGAGCGTTCAGTGTTACAGTGGTAAGCTGTATTATATTGTGTTGCATTGTTTGTGACAATTCTTGTTTTTCAGGTGAACGGTTTGCGCCAGGCATTGGGCAAGTGGAGAACTGTGATGAGCTCAAGAGAGAGATCGTTCATCAGCTTTGTATTCGGCCAATGGCCCACAGTGAGCTGGTCAAAGCCTTGCCTGAGAATGTGAGTAGACTTTTATATGTGCACATTCCTATAACTGCTCTTTTTCGTTATTTGTTTTTGTTTATTTATTTTTTTATGTATGCTCTCTAGAGAATAGTTATTCACACTCTGAATTTCAATGGCTTTTTTTTGGTCTTCAACCAGAAGCTTTGATATGCTGAGTGATTTATCTGATTATTGGAAGCCTGAACCACTGTGTTGGTTAAATGCCTCAACTTGCATGCTTTATTTTTGTGCCTCAACTGCCACCTTGTGGCAACACCATGACATTGCATTTTATTCATCACTTGCCTTTGAAACGTAGGAAAGACTTTACAAGCCTGTCTTTCCATTTCAGATGAACTTGTAGAAGCATGTAATTGTTTGATTGACCTCATAAAGTCTGCAGCACATTATTTGAATTCGTTGTGTCACCCTCTAAAGTGTTGGAAAGGCTTCACAAGTCTGTATTTCCCCCTCAGGAGAATAAGGAGACAGGGATGGAGAGAGTCATTGACAGTGTTGCTTTGTTTAAGTAAGTGTGTGTCTTATTCTTCTTTTTCCTCCTGTTATTGTGCTTTGTGACGAAAGTGATCTTTTATCTGTAGCTGATTTAACTTGTCTTGACTGTCAAACAGGAAACCGGGAGTGACTGGCAGAGGGCTATATGAACTGCGGCCGGAGTGTGCCAAGCAGTTCAATCTCTACTTCCACCACTACTCAAGAGCTGACCAATCCAAGGTACACACCACTCTCAGGCTTGCTGCTTGCATTTTCAGCTGTTCATTTATTGCTGATCCATGAAGACACCAATTGCAAGAATATTAAAAAAAAGGATTCCATTGAAATGTGTAGGCTGTTTTTGTATTTAACAGTCCAAGCACAATAGCTACAAACGTGACAGTGGAAAGGATATTTGTGATTTTAAAAGTTTATTTATTTATTTTTAAATGTATACAGGCAGAAGAAGCCCAGCGAAAGCTCAAGAGGCAGAATGGAGAGGACTCGGGTAAGTTATTCTGGGCGGTAACCTACCTGTGGGGGGTGGGGGGTCCTCAAGGCCCCCCCAGATGGTGCACATTTTTGCTCTATCCATGTGTATTGCAAGTTAGATTGGAGCAAAAATGTAGACTGTCAGGGGTGGGAGGGGGGCCTGAGGACCTGTCTGAGAACCACTGCCTTAAGTGGTTGTTTTAAAGTACAAATCTGAAAGTAACCAATTGAATGCAGCTTGTTGTTCCTCATGTGTGTTTGTGCTGCAGCTTTGCCGCCGCCGGTGCTGCCTCCATTCTGCCAGCTGTTTGCCAGCCTGGTGAATATTCTGCAGTGTGATGTGCTGCTAGGCATGCTGGGAGCCGTGCTGCAATGGGCTGTGGAGCCCAGTGGAGGACACTGGTCTGAGTCCATGCTGCAGAGGGTATGTGTTAGCAGAGGATAATAGGTTAAAACAGTGTATGCAATACTTATGTTTAAATGGGTTAAAAAATTCTCAAGCTTCTTACTGTACGACTGCTGATTTAGTATCAGATTAGTGTAACTCAGTCCATTGGTTCAATTTAGGATCAGATTCATTTACCTCCCTCCATTGATTCTTCAGTAAGAGCCTTCAGTTTGGCATGCTGTACGTTTTATGGCTGCATATCTGAATAGTGTTCAAGAGGTTTGGGTGTGTGTGTTGCTGCAGGTTCTGCACTTGATAGGCATGGCTCTGCTGGAGGAGCAGCAGCAGCTAGAAAGCAGCTCTGAAGACAATGAAGTCACCTTCAATTTCACCCTCAAAATCTCCCGTAAGTTGTGTAGATGTACATACATGCACACAAACACGCAAAGGTCTCGAGCAGATAGTTTAAAGTTGTGTTGCTTGTTTAATAGGCCCTGGCGAAGCTCCCAGCAACACTCCCAGTATCCTGGCTCTGCTGGAGACCCTGCAGAATGCTCCTCACCTGGAAGTGCACAAAGATATGATCCGCTGGATCCTGAAGGTATTTTTTATTTTTTTTGCTGTGTTTTAGTATTTATTATAATATAATATAGTATTATATTGTAAAACATTTTCAGAATCGGAATCTTTATCCGCCATGTACCAGATGCACAAGGAATTTTTCTTGGTGGGTTAGGGTGTATATATATAAATATCATATATATGTGTGTGTATTTATATATATATTTATCAGTACTAATAGGTACTATGTGGGTGGTGGATCATTCTCAGCACTGCAGAAACACTGGTGGTGGTGGTGTGTTGTGCTGGTATGAATGGATCAGACACAGCAGTGCTGCTGGAGTTTTTAAACACTGTGTCCACTCACTGTCCACTCTGTTAGACACACCTGCATTGTTGGTCCATACTGTAGATAAAGCCAGAGACGAGAGCTTATCTCTTGCTGTACAGTATGAGCTAATCATCCTCTAGTCCTTCATCAGTGGTCACAGGATGCTGCCCACAGGACGCTGTTGACTGGGTTAATGGACTATTCTCAGTCCAGCAGTGACACTGAGGTGTTCAAAAACTCCAGCAGCACTGCTGTGTCTGATCCACTCAGACCAGTGCAACACACACTAACACACCACCACCATGTCAGTGTTACTGCAGTGCTGAGAATGATCCACCACCCAAATAGTACCTGCTCTGTGAGGGTCTGTGGGGGTCCTGACCACTGAAGAACAGGGTAGAAGGGGGCTAACAAAGTATGCAGAGAAACAGATGGACTACAGTCTGTAATTGTAGAACTACAAAGTGCACCTATATAGTAAGTGGAGCTGATAAAATGGACAATGAGTGTAGAAACAAGGAGGTGGTCATTATGTTGAGCCTGATTGGTGTATAATCAGCTGAAGATGTGAGCAATTAATATATAGTGTATGTAATGAGTACTGTGCAAAAGTTTAATATAGCAGTATGTGTTTGTGCTTCTTAAAACACAATGTTTCATTAAAATAGAAGTAAATAAACATCCGTACATTAAAAAGAAACAAAATAATTTTGTTTTCAGGAACGTGTAGTAGGATGATATCATTTGACTTAGTTTGAAGAACAAAGTCTGGTTCCAGGTGTTGCCCTAAAACCCAGCCATCACATAGTTATGAAATTCTGTCTCAAGTATACTTGATTTAACGTAATGAAGGATCAGTTGGACAAGCCAGTTATTGGATGATAACTACAAATAAAGGGCTTTCATAAGGAGAAGTCTGGAAATGGTTAAATGAAAACACTGACGTACATAAAATAACTTTATTGAATTCATATTATTTTTATTCATTATAATTTGTGTTTTTGTTTTGACAAATTCTTGCTTACTGACCCAAAAAATACCTTTTTAAAGCTGATCTTTTACACAGTACTGTATGCGTATGTGTATATTTGTAATAGGTTCTTGATGCGGATGCTTCCATGACTTCAGTTTTGCATGACTTGCACTGGCGTCTAATTCTGCTTTCTGTTTGTGCAGTATAGGTGTATTAGTACATACTCAGGGTCTTTTGATGCATTTTATCTGAATTGTCCATTTCTTCCTGTGTAGATGGTGGGCAGCATTAAAACCATGCGGGAGCGCACAGCTGCTGCACCTTCCCCTGAAGGAAGTGGACACTGCCAAGAACAGGTTTGTTTCTGACCAGCTTTCTTCGCCTTTGTATCCTGGCTCACTAGTGTAATTGACTCGAAGTTTACTTTTGTGTTGTTGCAGACGGTGCGGGATAAAGACAAAGCAGAGAGGAAGAGGAAGGCTGAGATGGCAAGACTGCGCAGGGAGAAGATCATGGCTCAGATGTCGGAGATGCAGAGGCACTTTATCAACGAGAACAAGGAGCTATTCCAGCAAAGCCTAGAGGAGCTGGACGCCTCTACCTCTTCGTCACAAGAACACAGGTATATACACTCCATACTCTTAAAAAAAGATGGTTCTTCAAGTGTTCTTTAGTCCAGAAAATGGTTCTATATAGAACCATGAACACTCAAAGAACCTTTTGCATGATTTAACGGTTCTTTGCATCGGTTGTTCAGATTGGGGAGGAGAATGGGGGTGGAGAATGTGCTGTAGATGGTTCTATATAGAACCTTTTAAAAAAGGGTTCTGTATAGCACTAAAAAGGGTTTCACTTTTGTTACAAGCCACAGAACCCTTTTTGCTAAGCGTATAGGGGTTGCAAGACAATTCATTTTTCCTTACTATTTAGAATTCTTAGCTCAGGTCATCAATGAAAAGTATGTTGTAAAAAGAGGCACTGTCCCTTGTGATGTTGTGATGTGACTAGTCAACAAGGTTATGCAAACACTTGTCTAGATATGTCTATCCATTTGAATTCAGTTATAACTGGTTCTCACTCTGTGGTACAGCCCCAGTTCATGGGACAGTGCTCTGGTGTGCGTGGGGCCACGACGGTGGCGTGCAGGCGGAGGCGAGAGAAGGCAGTTGGTAACGTGTATCCTATGTCAAGAGGAGCAGGAAATCAGACCTGACGGCAGAGCGATGGTGCTTGCAGCCTTCGTCCAGCGCTCCACAGTCATGTCCAAAAACCGCAAGAGACCCCCTCACAACCCTGGTAAGCAGAATGTGTAGTTTTTGCAAAAAAAAATGGTGAATCACTGAAAAAACATCGGCCGTGATTTGATTGTTGGAAATGTGCATAATTATAATGCTCATCTTAATTGTAGTCTGCTTTGTATTTGAAAGCTTTCATATTTGTATTTTTTGAATGAAATATATTGTTGTGATGCACCAAAAGAAAAATCCTGACCAAGAACGTGATCATCTCTTGTCTAATGTCCCTCATTGAAACCTTAAAATAGTTCCACACCAGTTTTTCTTTTTTTTTCTTTTTTTTTCCCACCCCGTTGATCTGCTGCCAACATATTGTTATCTTACGTTGTAGGAAAACAAAGGAAGCAGTGTTTTTTATTCATTTATTCTCATTTCCAATATCATTTTATCATTTGAATGATTTAAGTAACGCATTTTGGCACTTTGTTGTAGTCCTATTTTTTATTTTTTTTTTGCTGTTGGCTAAAATTTTCTGCAATTTTTTTCTCTTTCAGCCAAAAAACGAAAGTGCCACTTTTGACCATATTTGGCTGAAGTGTTTTCTGTTCTGATTACTCAGATACTTATAAAATCAACTTAATTAGTAATGCAATCGACAGTAGAAGCTCTATTTTTTTGTTGTTTGGCATTGTTCAGTAGCTGTTTTGTTACCTTGCAGTAATTGACCATGTATGCTTTTTGCAGAGAGCTATGATCCCCTGTTCATGCACCCTGACTTGTCCTTTGGTACACATACGGGCAGCTGTGGACACATCATGCACTCTCACTGCTGGCAAAGGTGAGGAGTTCGAGAACACCTCATACTGATGCTCCCAAGTCAAATTATACTGTGTGCTCTTTTGCTTGAGTTATGCTTCATTGATGCATAGAAGCTTTGAATAGTCAGTGTTGCAGGTGATTGTCTCTGTTAACTTGTGCAATATCTCCTCATGCAGGTATTTTGAGGCAGTGCAGGCTAAGGAGCAGCGCAGGCAGCAGAGACTGAGGGTGCACACTAGTTATGATGTAGAGAATGGAGAGTTCTTATGTCCACTCTGCGAGTGTCTTAGTAACACAGTCATTCCTCTCCTGCCTCTCACCAAGACCTCCTGCAGGTACTTGTGCACGCACACACACTCATGTTGCTGTACAGATCTGAATGTAGGCAACTGTTATTGCATGCTTCATTAATTTGTGGTTTAACAGTGTATATTCACACTGCTTATCAGCAGGAAGGATAAGGACTTAAGGAAGTGTAGGCTTACTCATGTTCCTGTCATGCTGTTTGTGGTTTCAAAGCTTACTCTAGCATCAATATGTGAAGCAAACAGACATTATAGTACATTTTGCTGACTTATGCTCAGTTCACCTCTCAAGCCAATTGAGTGTCCTGAACAGAGCAGGTGATCCTCATGCAGAGATAATGACCATAGTAGGTAGAGTGCTTACAGGTGGGGTTAGTGTATCCATCTAATCTATAGCAGTCCTGAAAAACCCTCTTAAGCTTCACACCTCTGACCTTTCTGTGTGTAGACTGGTAGTCTGTCACGCAAGATCGCAGTGCTGTTATAGCGTACCTGTGAGCACTTCAGATGCATTTTGTTCTGCTTAGGAAAGTGTGGGAGAAAATGTATATTGATCCGTTGTGAATTGTTTTTTTTCCCAAATGCAAAAGTGAATGTCATCATATATGAAGTTTTAGAAATTTTGTGGCTTCCCTGAACAAATATGAGAAAGCTTCTGAATAGTCAAACCTGATTGTTTTTAGTTTTAGAGTAGTTCCACAGGCTTTTACAGGCTTTTATCGACAGCAAACTGAGAGCTTTTTGATCTTGATCAATTTTATTATTGTGTGTTTTGTGTGGTACTATAGTAGTGAGCAACCAGGTCTGTCTCTATGGCTGAATACTACCTCTCAGCAGATCAAAGCCTTGCACTCTGCTCAAAGGAAGGCCAAGCCCACAAGTAAGTATTGCAGTTTGTTGTTGTTGTTTTGCCATTACTGTCAAATTATCGATGATCGTCTTGGAGATGAGTTTTGCTGTGACATTAGCAATATTCTGTTGTGCGTCTTCAGATGCTGCAGTGACAAGTGAGACCCAGACTGTGGAAGACTATCCTCCCCCTGAGGGCTTCAGACTGGACCACACACCAGTGTAGGCACACACTTCAGTTTTTTTTTAACATGTCATTGTGTGCTTCATCTTGGGTTCTAAGCTATCACTGAATGTGTTGTCAGGAACCCCTACTCCAGCTCCATAAAGGAGATGCTGACAACGTTTGGCACAGCGACATATAAAGTTGGCCTTAAGGTGCACCCAAATGAGCAGGACCCTCGTGTGCCTATCATGTGCTGGGGCAGCTGTGCCTACACTATCCAATCCATAGGTCAGTCCACACACACTTCTGTAAAGAATCATTGTAAAGTTCATATTGCAGAAAACAGGCTGCATTGAGGGTTGATATTAATGTTTTTTCACCTAGCTTATGCATTTTCATTATTTTTTCCTCTTGCTGTGTTTTATACAGAGAGATTGTTGGTAGACGAGGAGAAGCCTTTGTTTGGAAGTTTACCTTGCAGACAGGTAATAAGACCAGCCTTAAGATGAAATGGAGCCTTTTGTTGTCAGCCGCTTTTCCTTCTGTATCTTTCAGTATTTCGAAAGAATGGATTTTATTAGAGAACTGAATGTGCTGTGTTGTTTGTATAGGATGACTGTTTACGTTCACTGGCCCGGTTTGGCTCTGCGTGCTGGTCCGTCTCTTCTCTTTCCACTGTGCAGAGTCACTTTATTCGACTGTTATCAGGTACTTTTTCCTGCTTTGTGGTCTTGTTTTTTTCCCTTTCCTGCCTTTTCTGACATTTGCTGTTTAAAGGGGTGTGTGTGTATATATGCATGTTTATTTGTATGTATCCTGCAGCCCTGGTTCCTGATCCCCAGGTGGAGAATTCTCCCTGTATTGTGGATGTGGATATGTTTCATCTGCTGGTGAGATGACTGTCTAAACACTACTTTTCAGAGTAAAATGAATCTGTTCAGAGACCAGGGATAAGACCTTTCTATCTGAAATCGTCAGATTGTGGTTTTGTTTTTTATGCATTTAACAGCTTTGTTCACAGTGCACATGAGTATGGATTTTATTTGATGTATTCCAAGAACGTATACTTTTCAGGGTAAAAAATACAGTAGTGTGACAACCTGTCTCCTGGTGTGTGTGTGTGTTTGTCAGGTGAGCCTGGTACTATCGTACCCAGCAGTGCACTGCCAGGACTCGTCAGGCCTTAGTGTCGATGCTGCTCAGCTTCATCTCCTTCACTTGGTCACTGTGGCTCATCTGGTCCAGATTCTGCTCACCTCTGTACCAGGTCAGAGCACAGTCAAAATTTCTAGTGAAGAATTGCCGCTGATTAACGTCTTCCAAGTTTGTCAGACGCTAGAGGGCACTCCTGAGTGAGTCCAAAATTAATGGGTACCTAAGAAGCTTTTGTGCAAAATTGAATTTAATGAACACTTATTCATTTTTTTTACAGCAAACTGCACTTGTCTACTCAACACAGAACAGCATAAAATATTTCAACACTGCTGTCATATTTTTTTAAATCCAGTTTTGGAACTTTTTAACAGTGCCTCATATTCATTCATGACATCAGTGAGCATGAGTCTCTTTATTCAGCCAATGAACTGATTAGCTCGCCAGCCAATCAGAACTAAGTAGCAGTAATGCTACCGTCCTACTGCACAAAGCCTGTTGGCTGAAGAAAAATACAGATAGTGTAACGTAAGTTTTCTTTGATTTTATTGTAATGGAATACATTCCTCCACTTTCCAAAGGTAAATGAACTTCCTGCATAAATGGCTAGAAAAGTTTTTGTTCTATTTAGCTCTATTCACTCTATTTATTGATGACTTGTTGTGGGCACCCTCTAGTATTTTGCAGTCATGGTTTTGATATCGTTTATCTTTCGTTTATACAGTAATCTACATTTGTCAGTGGGGTATGCTAGTAGTGCTATTTCTGTGATGTTCTGTTATGACTGAGAGGTGGAGGAGGTGTTAATGATCATGGTATGTCCACAGTGGAACTGACCATGGAGCAGGAAAGTGGAGGAGTAGAGCGGGAGGAGGAAGAGAGTGTTGGTCTCCTCTATAACACTCTGAAGACTCATCTTGGCAGGTGAAACAGCACGCTGCGTACTATAGTAAATATAAATGCATTGATGACGCATAATGTGACACTGCAATTCAAAATTGCCTACAGTAACACTCATGGAGCTGTGACTGGCAAGATGGGGATATTAGTGAATGGTCCTTGTTGAGTTCCAGTCACTGGCAAAGCCGTGGAAATGATCTTGACGTGTTCATGTTTGTATTTGTTTTAGTGGCCTACACGAGATGAGCTCAGGGTGGCACCTCTGGCGTTGTGTAAAGACTGGCATCCTGCCCTTCCTGAGGGGAGCAGCTCTTTTCTTTCACCATCTCAGTGGAGTGCCAGCTCCACCTGAGCTCCAAGGTAATCTTATATTTTTGTCACATGCTAGCTGAGCTAGTCAGGATAAAATGTATATAAAGATTCAATCACACATTAAAAATAAACACAATTATTGGCTGCAGTGTGTTTGTATATCTGCGCTTCTTCATTCACAGTCTTCATCTCCTTCTTCTCTCTGTAGCTCTTGGCGCAGGTGAATGGGAGGCTTTATGTACATACCTTTGTCTGCCTCCCAACCTGCTACAGCTCTATTATATTCACAAGGAAGTTTTGGAGCCTCTACTTCAGGGGTGAGACACTGCTTTAGTTCAGAAGTTTTCTGTAACTGCTTAGTGTACAATAACACATGCACATATGTGATTGATGCCTCTGGGAGTTCAGTTTGATGGATGCGTTATAATATTTGTAATGGTTTGACTGACTGCGCCGATTTGTCCTCCACTCCATTAGGTGGTGCTCTCATCCAGTCATGCGTCAGTGCCTCCAGGCTCCTAAAACCCTTATAAGGTTTGATTTTTGATGCATCTAAACCAGGGGTGTCAGACCTGTAATGGGCCAGTATGACTGCAGGTTTTCTTTCCAAACAAGCAAGAGCAGACCTGATACCACTTGTAGGTCTCAGTCTTTAACAACTGATTATGCATGTTCCTGCTTTGTCACACTTACTTGTTTTGTACAGAAATTAATTCTATATAGAACCATGAAAGAACCTCACTCAAATATACTCTATATAGCACCAAAAATCATTCTTCTACTGTGACAAGCTTGACATCGTAACAACAGCAGAACCCTTTCTGGTGCTGTATAGAACCCTTTTCAAAAAAGGTTCTATATAGAATCATCTACAGCACATTCTACATTAATCTGTCATTTTTCTTTTCTGAAGAACCCTGGAAGAACAGCGTAGGAATGAAAACCTTCAACCACGCTGGCCCTTTCTACAGATAAAATTGGACACTCCTTTAAACTTTGAAGAGACATTTTGGACATGCTGGTGGTTTTTAAACTGAATGTTTTTACTAATAAAATATATAAATCTGTCTTTCTAGTTATCCTAGAGAGTCTAATAGGCTTATTGAACTGCCAGAGGACTACAGTGCCCTCATCAACCAAGCCTCTAGCTTCACGTAAGCCATTTTAGTATATTACTGATACAAGATTGTCATCAAAGGATTAGTCCTCTCCGGTCCCTTTCACAGATGCACTTTTATCCAGGTTTTAACAGTAATTCAACAGGGAGGGGTTAAGTGTGAATGCAAGCTGGAGTCAAAATCCCGGTTAAATTGTCACAGCTGTTTACCTGCACAGTCCTTTTCATACATTAGACCTGGGTCACTTACCAGTAATGTTCAAGCTTTGCACTTAAGTGGTATATTACTGGGATGGACACGTTCATACCTGCCTTGAAATTCCCGGTGTACATGACTTGATGTCCTCAGCATTAATGGCCAACAGCTCTTTCAAATAAAGTACAAAATCCTGTGATGTTTTTCTTTCTGAAAACTCAAGTGTAAAAACACAGTGTCGCACATATGTTTTGGGTTGTTGGCCATGCTGCGGGCGTGCAGGAAAATATTTTTGCCATTTCTTTATAGGATCATATATAAGGAACACTCACATGGAGGTTTTGCTCGTGAAACGAAACAAAAAAAAAACTCTTCCGCCTTGTGTTCACACTCGATTATCATTAAATACCCAGGAAAAAGTGCACGTGAAAGGGCCTCACTGTTACCTGTTTAGTACAGGATTTTTTTTTTCTCTTTTCAAGTATCCTTGGTCTGACAAGTTTTCTGATTTGGCTTTTTTTTCTTGCTTTCTCTAGCTGTCCTAAGTCAGGTGGGGATAAGTCTCGTGCACCAACGCTGTGCCTGGTGTGTGGCACAATGCTGTGCTCTCAGAGCTACTGCTGCCAGACGGAGCTGGAGGGAGAGGACGTGGGAGCCTGCACCGCGCACACCTTCGCCTGTGGAGCTGGTGTTGGCATTTTCCTCAGGTTAGAAAGTGTGTCTTTGGTGAATGTTTGTGTAAATGCATGTTGATTCCTGTGTGTAGGGGTGCTCTTGCCTCAGTGTGTACCCACTGTGATTGCTTGTTGTGCTTATAATATGGGAAGCATGTTTGACTCCGCTTTGTGTTGCAGGGTGAGAGAGAGTCAAGTTCTGTTCTTGGCTGGGAAAACTAAGGGCTGTTTTTATGCTCCCCCGTACTTGGATGACTATGGAGAAACAGACCAAGGGCTCAGGTCAGTGATTCAGTTTTTGTGTTTGTGTAAAAATTAGCTAAACTCTATAGCTGCAATTTTATAAGCCAAGTTGTTGGCTTGTATTTCTCTCTATGGTAGTAGAGTGTTAGAGATGGCATGTCTGTATTGATGGGTATCAGTATCAAGACAATATCAGCAGAAAATGCTGGTTTGGATATTGGAGGGGAAAAAAAGAGTGACTCTGATCTGATCCTGTAACAAATCTACCCTCAAATACCACACACATGAAATGAAATGAACCTTTTTAGCCAACTGTGTCTGAACACATCGGAATTAGACCTCCGCATTTAACCCATCCGTACAGTGAAACACCACATTCACACTAGTGAACACACACACTAGAGGGCAATGAGCACACTTGCCCGGAGCAGTGGGCAGCCCTATCCACGGCGCCCAGGGAGCAGTTGGGGGTTAGGTGCCTTGCTCAAGGTCACTTCAGTCACATACTGTCAGCTGAGGGGATCGAGCCGGCGACCTTCTGGTCACGAGGCTGGTTCCCTAACCTCCAGCCCACGACTGTCCCCAATACATTGTGTGATGTCATGATAGCTGCTGTTTGTGTAGTTTGAGCGTGTTGGCATACCTTTTAAGACCCTGGTCATTTAATGCGTCTACAGTATCAGAATTTCATCTGGCTAGGTATTTTAAGTCCTTCACTTAAAATTTGCTCATTTTGAAGTTTTTAAAGAAGGAATGATTGGTATTAGTAATGGCCAATATCCAAAGTTTCAGTAAAGTTTCAAGAAAAAGTGGTATAGTGCTATCTCTAGTGTTTGGTTATGCAGTTTTAGCCATTTTAACTGAAGTGTGTAATTTAAGTGTAGTTCATATGAAACCTTGGTAGATTAAAAAAGGAAAAAAGTTGTATTGGTATCTGTTGGTACCGCACTATGAAAACGGAAAATGTGGTATTGTGCCATCTGTATTTATTACACATTAGGAAGTTTGCCTGTGGCACCCATTTTTCTGTAATTTGTTTTCTCTCAGACGGGGGAACCCCTTGCACCTGTGTCGTGAGCGCTACAGAAAGATCCAGAAGCTCTGGCGCCAGCACAGCATCACAGAGGAAATTGGTCATGCCCAGGAAGCCAACCAGACTCTGGTTGGCATTGACTGGCAGCACCTGTGAGGTCACTTTCGATCCAAGAATTGTTCTGCTAACACCAACCCGGGTATCTGCACATTTTCAGCAGAGGTTGCCACGGCAACACCACCTCTTGCACACTCCTTTCCCTCCTTCCTATTTTCCTCTACTAGAGTGGACGAATGCATGTCTTTTTTCCTTTTCTGTGTCTTTAGGGAGGTGTTTTTCCCCCCTTAGACTTTGTTTCTCCTTTGATATAAATACATATTTAAAAATAATAATAACTATAATGATAAAAAAATGCTATAGCCAAGGTATTTAACTGCCTGCAAAGGCTTCTCTTGCAACATAAATTCTCAGAGTAACTTCTCCATAGGAATGCTATTTAATTTCTGTTTGTCCCAGATACTATTAAATTATTTTTAAGCTAGTCAACTCAAATATCGATTTATTGAACAGGTCTCCAATTGCTTTAAACAACGCTGGTGTTCTCTTTGAAGCAAGCACAATGTTCCTCAATGACCCTTGGGTCTCAATAGTAGCCATAATGGATTGGCGCCATCTTCAGGCCATATGGTCCTGCCCCCCCTCCCCTCCTTTCCCGGTCACTGCAATATCTCTGCTAAGGGCAGCCAGCTACAGAATGCTCTGTGAAATGAATTCAAGCTAATGTGAGTCCTGCGAGTGCCTGGGTTGTCTGGATTTGAGCGCGTGTGCTGAGAGTTTGCGTTTTTGTATGTGTGCGGCGGGCGTGTGTCCAGTGTGATGGATTTCTATGGTTGTCTGTTTACGTGAATTTGATATTTTTGCAACACCAGTGTCAGTTTTTCATCCCACTTTTGTAATGGGTTATTTATGTGTATCTTTACATGTAACTTAAGGGGTGTACCATTTCATCATAGCTGACCTCCATTTTGGAAAAGTCTTTTGAATTTTGCTTTTGTGCTTGAGGAAGTTTATTACACATAGTAACTTCACTAAAGTTTGTTTTTCTTTACTCACACCCCCCCAAATCTGGCAGTTTTAAGCGTTTGACCTGCAACAGCAGAGTTGTTCTGAAAAATGAAATCCTAACAAGTCCTACAGATGTTACAGATAAACTAACGACGGAAAATCATGATTTGCCCTCGGATGGACACTCCACCATGTCTCAGCATCAGGTTTCTAATATTAGCCTGTGTGTGTGTGTGTGTGTGTGTGTGTGTGTGTGTCTTTTGTGATGGAAGTCAAGCCAGGAACTTCTTAGCAAATGGAGTTGAACATAAATCATGTTTTGTTACGAGAGAAATTATTCCTATTATTTTTAGACTATGTCTAAAGGCTAATTCTCAAATTTTAATCTCTTACATAAATTGTTTTCTTATCTTGGAAGCTCAAATAAGAATTGATGAAACAGCAACACGGCTTTGGGTTTATGTAGTGCAGAGTACGACAAAGGAAATGTACATGTACTTTTTAGTGATTACTGGCAGAATTATGGTTGGTTAAACACCAGATGAAATCAAATTTTTTTTGAGAAAAAGATCCTGTTCTCTCACAGGATATGACATTGGAAGCTCAGACCATGATGTTGAAAAATGGTGCAGTGTCCATTCAATCAGAGGACAGTTCTCACATAGGATACACACACACACACACACACACACACACACACACACACACACACACACACACACACTCAACAGGGTTCCCTGGGTTTCAGTGCTCTCAAAGTAGGCATGTATCCTGACACTTCTCGTGTTGCAGTTGCATCAGTATACGACATCAAAGACATATTTGTTAATATGTGAATTATTGTATAAATGGGTACCTTGTATTATATTGTAAAACAAAAATTAAATAAATAAGAAAAGCTAAGAGACTGTGTTGCTTTAAAGAGTGTACATGATTGTGTGAGAGTCTACTTGCACAGGTACTTATCCATACAGGTAATTGAGTGGGCTTAAGAGCTTGGCCAGGTGGGCTTATAGGTTGTATGAGTAATGTAATTGTGTAGAGAAGTGTGTGACCCCATTAATTATAACCAATTTTGCTGTCTACAGCTCTTCTCCAGCATGTCCCAGTTCTGTCAGATCCTTTTGCTCATCCAGGAACGCTGCAATAAAGAGGATTAAAGAGCCACAATGAAGCTCCAGTCAGGTTGAATGAAAGTTAGTCATATCCCAGGTTCTTCACTTTGTTTGGCAGAGTGTTAACAGCAGTTTGAAGAGGTATGGCCAACTTAATGTTTTACGGAGTTGGTTTTGTATCTACACTCCCTGGCCTTTTTATCAAGTATCGATCTTTTAAGGGACCAACATACAGCCACTGCTGACCAATTACTGATTGAGTACAGGACCATTCTCAGCACAGATGAAACCAACATCAGGGCTATCACATATTTTGGAAAACCTGAAAGTTTATAGACTAGATTTCCAAGCATAGAAAACTCAGAAAATTGGTAAAATGTTCTGGAAAGTTGTAAACTTTAAGCATTAAGCTGCCTAATTAAGCCACTTCTAATATTTTAGTAGAACTTGTGATTAAATAACAATTGGTTGAGGAATGGTTTATGTTCTTGACTTTAATGTTAATGATATCAGCGGCTTGTAAATTGTAAGTATACCTGATAAAATGGTTGTAGGTGCAAGGTAAGGGTACCTAATTAACTGGCAAATCATAGAGTATAGTCTGCTACGCTGTCAGCAAGGAAGAGATAGTCAGGATGTGACATGTTGGGTGTAACAGCGTTGTAATCTGATACTGAAAGTGTGCAGTCTTAAATCCTGTTGGCTGCACCTAATGCTTTAAGGTTTACCGGTTTCAGGTAGTTCTCCATAAGTGCTTGCTGAGCAGTGGTAGACGGAAGACTAGCTGGGATTCCTGAGCACAGAGATTTGGGTTGCTCCATAGGAGGTTCCTACATGGGTCTCGCCCAAGCTGCTTTCGCCCTGTATCTGCGTCAGAGGCACCTGTCCCTGAACTTCACCTGGCAGAGGCTAAGCTCCTCATCAAAGCTGCTTAGCTGCACTTATCCCCTCAGCCACTCTTTATGGACTTTGGAACTGAGAAAAATTCCAGATGACAGATATCCTTTCCCTGCTTACCCTCACACACCTTTCTCTGGTACCTGCCTGGGGCTTCTTGGCTGTCATACAGGTGGAAATCTACTACGCAGTATGTTCTGATCTTTAATCAGCCTTGACTTCAGGTTTTATCACCATCATAGATTTCAGAACAATATGGAGATGGACATGTTTCTGAATGTGTATGTGAATGGCAGGGAAGCGTCTTGCCCTTCAAAATTTAGAGATGTTTAGTGAATTCAAATTGCTGTAGTTATTTATATAAGATCCCTGGACAAACATTAGTTGCATAAATCATTTCTTCTTTTATACTTTATACCAGCTGCCTTATTGGCCAATTCCAGCCAGGTAAGGATTCCACTGGTATCTTGAGATAATTCTTGGCCATTTTAGCCCACTCTTCCACCAACTCTGAGCTTCATGTCTGAGCACAACACAACATTGACACTACCACGTCTCAGAATGACCACTACTGGGTTTTTTCTGTGTGACTGGTTCAGCTTAGCTGATGGAAGACTGGGACAATTTAACTCGCCAGCAAAATTACCAGACCACAATCCCCATTCTGATTTTGGCACCCATTTTGTGGAAGAGTGGGATAGAATGGACAGGAACAATCTCAATAGACTGATCTGATCCTTACCTAATGCTGTTATTAAGGCAAGGGGATGCGTACCTAGGTATTAGAAAAGACTTGAGCTAATATTTGCATTTATTTTAGAAAATAAGCCACTAAAGGCTTGTAAATATTCAACTGTGACTTGGACACTAATCTGTTAAACACTCTCTGATTGTAGCATTAAAAATGTCGTTGTTTCCCATATTCTAAATACAGTTTCTTTTACTGAAGCAGAACCTGGAGGTCTACATTTCTGATGTCAGGTGAAACGGAGGTTGAGGACTGCTGAGTAGTCTCTCTTAAGACACACCGAATCCTCACTTAGGGAAACCCATCCGTTCTTCTTTATCCTATCAGCTAAGACTCCACACCCAGCGGGTGTCCTGAAATCTTTCTTCAGGTTGCTTCCTTGCTTCCTTACTTTGCCCTTTTGTATGGACCCTGCATTTTGGAAAGGCCAGCTGATGCTGCATGCAAAGAAATTTCTTTCAAATGTTCGTGTTCGTTCATTTAAAAAATTGCTCTAAATGATGAGTAATGAATGGAAGAATGAACCAGATACATTCAGCATCTATTTAAACATCTTTATCTTACACACTGAAGTGTCTACATGTTCATCCCAAACTACAACAGTAATACTGTAAGGTCAAAAGTTCAAGTGTACAGAAAGAGGTTCCTGGCAAAATCACAAAGGTAAGTCACACAAATGAGAACATTAACACCACTGGTAAGGTTGTCTGAGATATAAGTTTAAAAAAAAATAATAAACTGTCCAAAAACTAAGTCCTGAAACAGGCTGGTACTCTTCACAACTGCTTCTTACTTTTGTCAACTGTCAAAATTCTGCACAAAAATGCTTCCCACTTCGCTCAAACAGAAACTCGGTCCGCAGGCCTCAGAGACCGTTAAGAGGAGCTTTATCGCCTCTTCAGGTACCTGACGCAGATATTTAACCCGAGAGGATCACACATCGGTCTAACTCGACCATACTGCGTTTGGTCTAATGCAGCCTGCACACCACATAACAGCAAAGTTCTGCTCTGTTCTCTTCAGTTCATCATAGGCCTGGCCAATGACAATGCAGGATGAGCTAGCATTGGGTGAACAGCAGAGTGTGGCTCCATCACAGAAGGGTTTGTGAGGAGCCTGGACACAAGTCATGTCCTGTTTTTCTCAGCTGCCATTTGAAAGCTGCCTTAGGAGTGTCTTCACTGTGCATTCATCCTTCTTTAATTGAAAATAGACTGTTACGAATTAATATCTGGAATAATTGTGGTTTTAGGGTAAAATCTCATTGACGGTTCACTGGATTTAAATGTGTGTGACACTGTCGGGTTAAACATCCGCTCAGCCACAAACGTAAGCAGGCCAGTCTCGCTCAATGTGTGAGTGACCTCACTGGACTATGAAGCCTGGTTGCTTTGAAACTTGGATAGGGCCAGAAGGTAGGACTGTTCAAAAACTTTTTCTAAACTCACACAGTATTTTTCAAGACACCAATTGTTATATCTCTTTAAAAATAAACTTGTTATAATTTATATATCATTTATATTTACAAATATGGACATGCACATTTACAAATTTGTCAATTAGAACTCAACCCATTTAAGGGTTCTATCGTTTTTGTTCACTTTTGTAGTTGTACAGTGTATTCGTACAGCATGTGCACGTGTTTGTGTGAATATGTGTGCGAGATCATATGAATTTGTGCATATGTTTTTCACAGAGAGAATAACTTTTTTTCCACTCTCTCAATTATGCTTTTCCTCTCCTTTTGGTAGGAGTGGCCTCAGTCCCAGTTAGGGATGTGACCCTCTCAGCTGGCAGCGGCCTCTCCCCCCTCCCCCTCCACCTGGTTGCCTTTTCCGAAAGTCTTGATCTTCTCCATGATACCAGACATGGTCTCCTTCACGCTCTTTTCTAGCAGCCAACCTTCACTCTCACTCTCTGGATTCTCTGGGTTTGTCAGGGTCTCCAAAGAGGTTGTCAGGTACTTCAGCCCCACCATATCCGCAGCCTGTTTATCAAAAAGAAGATGGTTTGTTAAATATCTGGAGCCTTAAAGATGACGGTTTGGTAAATATTTCCAGCATCTTTATCAAAAAAATGATGGTTTGGTAAATATCTTGAGCCTCTCTATCAAAATGATGCAGGTTTGGTAAATATTTCCAGCCTCTTTATCAAAATGATGCTGGTTTGGTAAATATTTCCAGCCTCTTTATCAAAAAGATGATGGTTTGGTAAATATCTTGAGCTTCTCAATCAAAAAGATAAAGGTTTGATAAATATCTGCAGCCTCTTTATTAAAAAGATGCTGGTTTGGTAAATATCTGGAGCCTCTTTATTGAAAAAGAACTTGGTGATAGGAAGGCCTAAAGCGATCACATATTCTGTTACTGAGGCTAAATAGTATTATGCAACTGGCTGTGTCACAAGTTCTCCCAAGCGTTAGTCCAGTTAATCTAAGGATAAGTCTAGAAACTGATCTAAATATTTACATGACCTCAAAATCTTCCTATCCTTTTTCATTCTTATTTTGACCCACTTACAACCGAACTTTCCACCTTCAGTCTGCTCTGCCACCTACTGAGATCCTTATTCCAGGAAAAGTGCCCATGACTCTGGTGAAGCTTAAACTCTCTGAGATGCTCTTATCCTTGTACTTGGTGTCACACTGACGCTTATGCAACCACTAACAGAGAAGCTCAGGTTTGGTCTACTTTTAGTTCCACTTATGTTTCCTGTAAAATAATAATAATAATAATAATAATAATAATAATGTTTTCTCAGTGATTAATATATGGCTGTTCTCACAAATTTCCCAAGCTTAGGTGTACCTAATAAACTTTCTTTGGGAGTTTTGATAGTTCGACACTCACATCATCTAATAGAGGTTTATTGTTTATTGTAATGTTCAAAATAATGCAGGCCAGTTTTAACCCATGTTGAATTATAGTTGTGTTTTTAGGTCATTTAGTTCACAATTACAATATATAACAAAATAAAATCTACTATTTTGTTCTAAATTGCTAGTTTTAAAAACTTTGTTGTCATGGTGCTCTATTGTAGGGTACAAAGAAGTAATTAATGTCACTTGTCAGGGACATTCTCAGAATTGGCATGCTTTAGTTTCTGAGGAAATTTTACAGATTGGAAATTTTAAATCAGAATTCTATCATTTCTATACACTTTTCACACATTGACATTGTCATGGCATTGTATTTCCTCACCTCTAAGACCATGACTAGCAGCACAAGAGCTCCAATGCTGTTCATCGTCCCCCCATAGTAGGACACCAGGGCCTCGCGACAGCCTCTTGTCCAGATATTTAGTTCCTCTGTGTGGTGATCGTAGTCATAATGAGCAGAGTTATTGGTCAGGTGGTGCTGAATGCAGGGTCGTGGGGAACCAGGGTTGCAGCAGCTGAAGGGGACGCTGTCCATCAGAAATTTTCCTTCCACATTACTTGTGACACGACTGTAAAACATGTAAGAAAAAGATCTGTTAAAAAGATCAAAATAAGTAAACCAAACTAAATAAGTGGATAATATTTTAGAGAGAAGATAAGATCTAATCAGCACCATTATTTTACTTTTCTTCTTTTTTAAAAAAAATGCATTACTGCTTTGACTTATATATATATATATATATACACACACACATACACACGTATAGCAGTCCACACCATTGCTTGTTGGGATGGAAGTTTAGTTTGAGTGAGATTAGCAACTAAGATCTATTGATTTAATCTCTTGTTAAGAAAAAAAACAAGCTAACATGCTAACAGTTAAGCTAATGTGCTAACAAAGAAATGCACTTTTGTGTCACTGGTGCATACAAAACAGGCTCATAGTTCATTCAAGAAATTGGTCAGTAGGTCATGAGTAAGTCTGCACTGGGTGTAATTATCCAATCAAAGCTGTGTTTTATGATTGCAGTGGACAGCAGGCTTGAAGGACATAGGAATGAGATCCTGGCAGATTATCTTCTTATGCAGGTTTGGGTCGTGCACCTGATCCTACTAATATTCCTATTCTCTCCACACGGAACTCCGCTGACAAGTTATCCATATAGCCTGCCTACGTAACTGACTTTACCTGTACATTCTTAACATGTTTACCTTACATTTTTTAATGAGAGTATTTTTGTGTGTTTTTGCAGAATGACATTTGGGGCACAAGTCATTTTGTATAACTTCCATTTTAAAACGATACTACATATTGCATAGCAGAGTGCTAGTCAGAAAGTCCTCCTTTTGGCTTTCGTAAAAATAAGCACAGCTTTAAGTCGAATGAGCAGGACAGATAATGGTCTTGCATGGCTGCTAAAACACGTGTTTTTTTTTTTAGCGTAAAATACGTTGTGAATATTTCTAGGTGCCATATTTGCAACGTACAATACTCTACAGCAGGTTTTATGGTATTTTCTGTTTTTTCACCCTTGACAGCTAAGGACTCTTCCCTAAACCTCCTGCCAACAAGTCAGTATTTTACCTGAAGAGCCAGAAAATTGTCATAAGAAAAAACAGGTTTTCAAGTGGTTCTTTCAACATTTATACAACTAGAATGACTGAATCAACTGATCAAGATGTCCAGAACTAGCTTATACTCACTAACATCCCCCGAGCTTCCCATCCAACTGTTTTACCTTTGCTCAAGTTTGGCCCTGTTGTACTGAAATAGAACATAGCACTCACTCTTTCACTTCATCATTGCTGAAATCAAGGTAGCGGTTGCTAATCCACTGGATCTCAAACCAGTCTCTGAAGTTATTGTTGCCACAGCAGCGGAACTCGATCTGGGTCATGTCGAGGGTCCTCTTCATGAAGCATCGTCCTGGTGTGTCCGTGTCCTTGTAGTACTTCATTCCATTTTTCAGACCCTCAGCCAGTGCGAAATGTAGAGAAACCTGAACCAGGAAGCATAACAGAGCCGTGATGAAGAGGATAATGCAGAAGGCGAAGCATCCACCCAGGTAGTTCTTCACCATGGGCTTCCACCTTGCGAACTTGGCTGTGTCAAGTGAGTCATGGCACACCTTGCCACCAAAGGCATTGATGCCACAAGCAGCTAGGCCAACCAGAATGAGCAGGTTGGGCACAAAATGGCTCTCATTGTTGTCCATCATTTCACTCCTCTTGCGGAGCTCGATTTTGAAGAAAAGCCCCATGCTAAAGATAAGGATCCCACCCATGACCGAGAGCCAGTACAGGAGCCACAGTCCCTGGGCAAGCTTGACTCGCTTGGCCAAGTCAAATTTTACAAGCAACAAAGCCATGTTTTCTTCTTTCAGATGTGTGCCAAATATTCAGTCCACAGATCACTGTTTTGATGGCCCTGTTATTAGAATTGTTTTCAAAAAGATTTGGCAAGTGCAAATATTTAGTCCGAAAGCTTAATTTGGTAATCCATTCCAGAAGGGAGCTTCAGAATGTGCTTTGCCAAGGCTTTCCCTCTTCATACCCATTCTGACCACCCAGAACTCAAGAAAGTCCATAGTTTTGGCAAACAGAGGCTTGTGCCTCCAAAGATGACAAAATTTCACATAAATTCACCAAAATTGGTCAGGCTGGGGCACCGGAGCAGCTATTCCCGATGGTTCCTTTTCCTGCAAAAGGAGGTGGCCGGTTGAGGAGTCAAGTGGTTGAAGCAACAAGTTGCTCTACGTCATGCTAAACCCCACTAATCAGCCTTGATCTCATTTCCAGCAGATGAGCCCAGGGCTGTAATCCTTTTTCTTACTGTGTAATTGGTTAGTTGCTTTAGCTCCAGGCTCTTCCTACTGGACAGGGCTCTGGGAGGAGTGTTACCCCGATGCACCTCAGATCATTGCATCCTCCATGTTGTAGGTCAGGTGTGAGCCTCAGGGTAAATGAGTAGTTGCGTGAACAGAGAATGAGAGTGCACTGAAACGTTCTTTAGGAGGATAATGTCTTTCCAGTACAGTGCCGTTGGGTCCAGGGAATAGGCTTAGAGGGGAATGGGAGGAATTTATTAAGGCTGCCTTATTATTAGCATTGCCTTTCTATAGTAGTTGTTTTTGCTGATAAACGACTATAATATAAAATACAATATAAAACATGATGAATTAATCTCATTACTACCTAACTGTGCACCCAACCAAGTTTTCTAACTTGGTCCCCAGACTGGTCAGAATATCACTATTCAAGCATATTTTGTCATCATATGTTCTAATACATAAAAGTATACTTTAAAAAAGATGGTTCTTTAAGGGTTCTTTAGTAAAGAAAATGGTTCTATAAAGAACCATGAGCACTCAAAGAACCCCTTGCATGATTAAATGGTTCTTTGCATCATTAAATGGTTCATCAGATTGACAGAGAATGTGCTGTAGATGGTTCTATACCGCACCCAAAAGGGTTCTTCTATTGTTACAAACTTAACATTGTAACAATAGAAGAACCCTTTTCAAAAAGGTTTGATATAGAACCATCTACATCACACTCTCATGCTGCCAAGAACCCTTTAATCATGCAGAGGGTTCTTTAAGTGTTCATGGAACCATTTTCTTTACTAAAGAACCCTTAAAGTACTGTCTTTTTTTTAAGAGATTAGTGACCCTTATTAGTCCCACAATGGGGAAATTTCACCTCTGCATTTAACCCATCAGTGCAGTGAAACACCCACAAACACACTAGTGAACACACACACTAGGGGGCAGTGAGCACACTTGCCCGGAGCGGTGGGCAGCCCTATCCACAGCGCCCAGGGAGCAGTTGGGGGTTAGGTGCCTTGGTCAAGGACACTTCAGTCATGTACTGTCGGCTCAGAGGATCGAACCAGCGACCTTCCAGTCACAGGGCTGGTTCCCTGACCTCCAGCCCATGACTACCCCATTTATTTATTTGAGTAGCACAATTATTAATTTGCTCTGAAGTTTTATCACTGCGTGCTTTGCATTCCTGCCGATAGTGTGTGGTATGGTAAAACTTTATTTGTTAAACTGGTAAAACTTTATATTTTGTAAGGTAAAAAAAAAAATATTGCTTAAGATTTTATTTTGACCTTTATTTACTTTATTTATTAACATATTACTCTCACCAGTATCCCTAATATTCACCACTATTTCAGTATGTGACATGTTGGCATGAACTTGTGAGTTGGTTGTTTCATTTTTGTAACTGAATTTATATGTCATGACTCACCTAAAGTTGTATTCAGCAGTACTGTCGAAGCCTACCAGCTGTGGTGGTGTTCTACTCTCTCCTATGACAGGTAGGATTAAGCTTGTCTTTTGATGGAGACAGATTTCTCTCTGACTCACCTAACCTGATCTACTGCCATGCCTCCCTCCTGACTTCAGAGGAGACTGGATAAAAGCTCTGACTTGGAAAGCAGTTGATACACATACAATAGATGCTCCTTGACTTGCTATGATTTTCATTATTTGATGAGATTGAAGTAAAACAGTGTAGAACAGTGAGCAGATACAGAACCTGACTGAAATGTTTCCTTTATCTAAATATTTTTCTTTGTTTTTCCAAATTTTAATGAAGTATGTAGAGCTGCAGATTTCCTTATAATTGTCAAATAAGCCATTTGAAAGGTGGACACATGCAAATAATTGTGAGAGGAAAGATCAAGTCACAGTAAAAGTGTTAGTATCCACACTCCAGTGGAGGTAGCGCTCAGACCGCTCTGTACTAACTCACATTATTTTCTATTGGCTGTGATTCTCAGGGGGGGTTGCCAGCAGAGTGTCACGTGTGAGTTCGTGTGAGATGGTACTGTTTGGATGTCATTTTAAAAATCAGTGACAGTGTAAAGGAAGGTGTAAACAATGATAATGTTTATTTATGCAAGCCGTTCTTTTTCAGAGCAGGTTTTTTGCAATACATCAAAAAGAACCATTTATAAAAACATCTCAACAAAGTATTAATGTCTCAACAAAATATTACATTCTGGAACATACATACATACTTTAATGTAACATACACTCTCGTGCATTTAGAGCCAGACCTGTGAATAGATGTTCCTGTCTCAGTGTGACCAAATCTTATGCACAATAAATTCATCTGGACCCAGAACAGAACCCTGGGGTACTCCTTTAAAACTTACGAATGTAATACACTGTGTGCTCAATATAATCCTTACGCAGACTTTTTGTAAAAATTGTAAGTTTATTCAACCCATTTGTAGATTTTTTTTATTTACAATTTTGATATTTATTTAATTTACAATCTTAAAATGAAAACTACTAGATAATGTTGACTAAATTTAAGATGATTTCACTTGCAAACTATAAACACAACATTTGTAAACACACATTTTGAAATGTAAAAGGGGCCTGACTCACAAAGCAAGTTCTACAGACACAGGGTTCGTGACTAAGTTTCAGCTACACAGAACCTAACAAATAGAACCAACTGCGGTTCGCTTGTTTTTGAAGATGGTTAACAAATTTCTCCCTTAATCCAGGCTCAGATTCTCAGGCTGTGATTAATCCCCAAAAGCAGGACATTTATGATGTGCAGCCAATGTTTTAAAGGAAAACCTATGTAAATATGCAGAAAGTTGAAAATAATGTATTTATATAATGCATGTATAACTGTAAAGCAGCAATGCTGTATCCACTGCCACCATGCAAGTGCTTATTGGAGTAATAATAGCTTTATTTATATATATGTAGTATGTTTTGCTTCCTCTGCTAAAAAGCAATATCTTCATGTGATTGATGCCACAAACTGGAGAGGTCCACCTCTGTGAGTCCCTAATTGGTCAGCCTTGATTGGCCCAAGAGCTGCCCAAAATCCTGAACTTGCAGCAAAAGTTGCTATGGTGATGTAACCTGGTAAAAAGTGACTGTCCAGGTAACGCTACCTCCCCACAGGTCACCTTCTTTGATCCACAGCCACCTTGATGCAGATTTAGAGGGTGAAGAGGGTTGTTCTCTGATTTTGATGATTCTCTTGTTAAGAGAGTGTTAAACTGTATCAGAACCAGTTTGGCTAGTACCAAAGTATTGATCATTGAATGCCCCCAAGCCTAACCCCTGAAATTACATTCAAAAATAAAACACCGAAATCATTTTTGGCCGTTTTAAAAATGGCATTTCAGTTGCTACCAAGATTAAGAGGAAGTGTGTTGCTCCAGCCAAAATAAATTAAGTAAATAAATAAAAACCTGAATCTTTCTCTCCGTCTTGACCACATGGTAGGTAGATGTAACATTTTTTGAAATAGTGAGTCAGAAAATCCATCCCGGTGTCACTACAGAGCACCTCATTATAAAAATATAAGATTTGATGTTTGGTGAAAAAGGATGGGTGTTTTTTTTTTTTTTTAAATAACTTATCTGTCTAAAAATGGACTGTTGCTAGTTTCTTTATATGTACACATTGAATAAAAATTAGCTTGGACTGTCACAACCAAAATAAATATAAAACTAAAACTGTCTGTTTATTACTGACACACTTGTTTCAGTAGTGACATTCAGTTGTTGATTCACAGCTACTTTTTAAAAGAAAACTGCATCACACACTGTATGACACAGTATTTCTATATATTTTTGTACATATTTCACTGAAAAAGGCCGAACAGTACAACAGAGTATGTGAATAAAGGCAGAGAATTTGAATAATTTACATCTAAGTAAGAAAAACTGGAAGAAAAATTGCAGAAAAATGTCTTAACACCAAAAACAGCCCTCGAAAACAGCAAAAGATTCTTTGTGGTATTGACAAAATTAGATAAATGTCTGATATAAAACACATAATTATATTTTAATATATGCTCAGTGAATTTCTAAATCATAGTGTGCACCACAAAGGCAAAGACATTTTAGAGAAGAGAAAAACACACTTTTAAGAAATATTCCTCTAAAACTGACGCTGTTTTAGTGCGTTTCGGTTGTAAACAGAATTTTTTTGTATATCCTTTCTTCACTCACTGTAAACAGTTTAGATGGGGCTTGGCAACGTATCAACTGACAAGCCAGTAAAGACCATGACTTGGCACCAAGAACAACCAGATGTCCTTTCCTTCAAGGACAGTTAGCTCATTTGAGAGCGACCCTTGATCTCGAGGCTGCAGTGCTGCTTAAGAAGCTGATCTGCGGCTGACCGCACTCCTCCATTCAGTAGGAATGTTATTCTTACACAGTGTTGCTCTGTTAAAGTACTGAAACATCAGCAAGATGAAAGAAATGATTAGGACTAATAACAAGTGAGGCAAGCCGCTCATCTCTGTTGAAGGTATGCTGTTTGTATCCGACCTCCTTTTAGCATGAAGGCTAATTTATTGCAGGGGTAGGTGAAGTTAATTTGTGAGTTGCTCTACATCTGTAAAATGTTGGTTTTGTGTGGGAACTAAATTGCTTTGCATCACTCCTATAATTAGCGTTCTGTGGTCACATGTGACAAGATTAGAGGGAGCAATAGGATTTTACTGACTTACTGTCCCAACCGTTTAGAGGGACACAGTGCAGCTGG